TATTAAAAATTTTATTTAACTAGATTCAGGATGCTGCGGTCCCTATCAAGATTAATAATTAAATTAAATAAAAAGTTAAAGAGATAACTGCTAGCTACTTATATTATAAATATTTATAGTATAGAATAAAATAGCTTGCTTTAAATAAAGTAGATTATATATAATATCCAGCTAGTAATTTCAAGAATACTTTGTTTTATTTATAAAATTACTATATTAAATATCCTACCTGTCCTGGATCTCCTAAATGACTACTGCAGTGGTTGACTGCTGCTAAGGCTGATGAGTTTATACTGGATTATGAAGATAATAATACACTTCTAGTTAAAAGCAGCCAGCTTTAAAAGGAAGGGTGATATAATAATAAGTAATATAACTAAAGTATATAATATAATATATAATATAATTTTTATTTACTCTGCTGATTATACATGGTCTTATTTATTTATTTTATTTATTTTATTTTACTTGCTTATCTTTATTACTTACTTATATTTCCTTACACTCCTTTCCCTTTCCCCCTCATGTTCGATATTCTAGTCTAGACGCGCTGAATATGATTATTTGATTGGCTCTCACATAATTTATAAACTTTATAAATAAATATTATTATTTTATATAGAAATATTTATAAATATCTAGTTTATTTATTAATCTGACTAAGAATAAGAAAAAAAATTAAATCTAGATTTTTTATTATTAGAAACTTATAAAAACTTTTATAGAAAAATATATTTATAGAGAATATTATCACAGCTTACTTTTAAAAAGAAAAATAAGTATATATTAAAACTAATATATTAATATTTGTAATTAATAAAATATTATTACAGAAAAATAAAAATAATTAATAGATATTAACTTATAAAAAATAATTATAGTAAAATAAAATTATAAAATCCCAGACCAGAAACTACTCGCGATAATTAAATTTTTAAAAAAAATAATAATATAATAATATTAGTTAAAAAAAAAGCAGACCTCGCAGTAGAAATTATAATAAATTATAAAAATTTAAAATATTTTATAATTAACAAGAAACTATCATAAAAGTAAATATAATGAATATAATATTTTATAATATTTAAATTTTATATTATTTATTATTATAAAATCTAGAATCCTGTAAATACCCTATTATAATATCTAAATTATAAGAAATATTTACAGAAAATTATAAGAAATTAAAAAATAATACTATAATAATTTTTTAATTTACTAGAAATATATTACAGAAAAAAAATAATAATTGAATATATTTTAATTTATAAAAATATTCCAATCCAGAAACAACTTATAAATAAATAATAAAAAAAATTATTTTTATAAATATATTTTATTATAAAAACTTATCCATGGAGTTACTTAAGAAAATACTATAAATATTAATTAAAAATCAATAAAACTAGAAAATTTATAAAAAATTAAAAAATCCCGCGAGCTTCAGGCTTATAAGAAATAAAAAAATAAATGAATTTATTAAATAAAAAAATTATAATAATCTTCTCTAGAGACAGGAAATTATATATTTTTAATAAATAAAAATTAGAAAATTTATATAAAAATATTATAAGATCTGTAAAGTTTACTAAAAAAATATTTTATAAAAAATAATAAAATTTATTAAAATTATTTCCAGTACCTGTAATTATAGAAAGAAATTATATTAAATTTTATTATTAATTTACCCGCGAGTATTAGTACTATAAGAAATTTATGAAAAATCATATCTTTAATAATATCTTAATAATAATAAATAAATATAATAAGATAATTTACTTTATTTTTTTAATAAAAAATCTTACAGGAGAGAATCTTATAAGTATTCTTTTATAAAATTTTTTATAATTATATAAAATATCTGTTAAGATTACTATATCTAAGAGAAATTAAATATATTTATAAAAGTTAAAATATTTATTAAAAAAATAATAACTGCTTATAAAAAGCAGAAAAAATTCAATAATTATAAAAAATAATTTAAAAGTTTTATAATAGATTAAATAATTTAATTATTCATAAAATATCTTCTGTAAGAACAGACTAGTAAGAGACTAGATTTATAAAATAAAAAATTATATTATATATTAGAAATAATAAATATATAAATCTATAAATTAAAATTACCCGCGGGTATTTTAATTTATAATAAATTATATATTTTTTTATTTTATAAATATTATAAAATGAATAAAATAAACTCACAAGAATATTGTTATTTATAAAAAAGATCTATAAATATTATCCAAAGATATTATTTATTTTATAAAAATAAAATTAAATTATAAAGATTTCAATAAAATAAGAAAAGTATTTTAATAAAAATAATATTTGAAAATTTACTATAAATTTATATTATTTATAAATATATAAGAACTTTATGGCCGGGAGATAATTATTATTATTAAAAAATAAAAAAAAAATAAAAATTATATTATAAAAGTTAAAGAGATTATCTGATTTCTTATAAATTTTAATTATTAAATATTTTTATATTACACATAGATAAAATATTAATTATAATATTAAAATTAAATTATATTAACTCCGCGGAATATATATTCTGTTTAATAGAATTTATATTTTTTATAACTAGTATAAAAATAGTTATTATACTTCTAGCTATAATTATTATTAATATATACTGTAAAAATCAGAATATTATTTTAATTTTTATGATATATCTTATACTCCTGACTGGATAGAGATTATATTTTAATTTTAAGTATATAAATATAATTTTATAGAACTAAATATACTTCTCTAACTATTTTATAAAATATATTTAATAAAAAGTATAGAATAAAAAACAGGTATTATTATTTAATAATATTTATAATTAAAAAGAAATTTCTACTTATTCTAGAAAAGAAAACTAAACAGAATAATTAGATATATTATAAATATTTTAATAAACTAGAATACCACAGGCAGCTTTATAAATTAGTATAAAAATTAATTTATAGATCTTATTTTTTACAGAATTAATTAATTTTAAACTAATCTAGAAATACCTGCTAGAAGTAAAAATAATCTGTAAATATAAAAATTTCTTATAATTAGATTTACTAATATATTAATTAAAATTATTAATTTACTATAAATCCTTTTTTAACAAAAGCTGCTAGTAATAGATATTATAAAAAATAGAATAATATTAAATATATTTACAAAGAATATAAGCTATTATAAATTAATATTTATATATATATATAAATACCCGCATGAACAAGATAACTTGTTAGAATAAAAAATAAATAAAGATTATAGATAAAGCTACAGAAAATTTAAAAAAAATTATAAAAATAATAATAATAAAAATAAATTATAATTATAATTAATTATAAATTTAATTATATTTACACGAAGGCTAACTTACTACAAAAAAAAGACCATGAATAATAAAAATACATTAATAAAAAATAATAGTACTAATTATAAAATAAATTTATTTTATAATAATAATAATAATAAATTAATATATAATAATAAAAAAGTATAAAACATGTGAGAATATTATATTATATAAAATATAATAAGTATCCATGGAAAAGTTATTTACAAGTTTTTTATAGGGAAGGAAAGGAGAAGAAAGAATAAAAAATAATTATATATAATAATAACAATAAATATTTTTATTTAATTATAGAGGGAAAATATATTAGAATAATATTATAAAAATAAGAAAATATATTATAAAAAATAAATTATTATTTAATTATTATAAATATTTTTTATAAAAAAAACTAGAAAAAAATTATAAAAAAATTAAATTCTGAATAAAAAGAAATTTATGTAAAGTTTTATTAAAAACTCTGAGTCCTGAGCCCTGATTTATATTTTAAAATAAATTTATTATTAATATATATTATATATTTTTAAAATAAATCTTATGAGGAGTCTAAGAATCCACAGTAAATTTTAGAATTTTATATATAATAAAATAATATTTTATATATTTTATAGAAAAATTCCATGGATAAGAACTTGTAAAAATATTTATAAAAGAAAATACTTCTAGAAGAGCTGTAAAATCAGATAACTTATATAAAATATAATAATAATATACTATAGAAAAATCCTATGATAAAATATTATAAAAAATAATATAAAAAATTTATAAATTTATTATAAAAAAATTAAATAATTTTTCTCCTACTTAATTCCTTCTATAAAATTTTATAAGCAGAAATTTTAATAATATTTAACTTATTATAAATAATATTACCCATTACTAGCTATAATAAAATGAATCTATGATAAAAGATGTGAGAGCCAATCAAATAATCATATTCAGCGCGTCTAGACTAGAATATCGAACATGAGGGGGAAAGGGAAAGGAGTGTGGGGGAACGTGAGTGAGCAGTAAAGGTAAGCGAGCGAGGCAAAGCAAACAGAGCAAACAAACAAGACCACGTGTAATCAGCAGAGTAAGTGAAAACTACGTCACGTGCTACGTCACGTGCCTCAGTTACGTCGCTCGCCATCACAAAAGAGTCTATAATAAAATTATTATTATAATTATTATTAGTATTTATAGTTTTAGGGACCAAGGTCTTACAGGAAAAAAATAATTAAAAAAATTTAAATCTTTACAATTTTTATAATATTTATTATTATAAGAAATATCTATACTAATAATAATTTTATTATGAGACTTAATTAATATTTATTATATAATTTACAGGCTACCTGCAAATATCTTACTATTCGCGGGCAGAGATAGGATAATTAGTAATAATATTTTAAAGAAATTAATCTTATATTTTATATTTACAGATAAGATATACTCTTCACATTATCTCATTATATTCATCCTTATAGAACCATACGTAGGTTATTGTATATCATAAACAGTGTTATATATACCGACTTTACAGAGCTGCTTTTACACGACTGCAGAGGCGGGGTGTAAAGTCACATGACCACTACTAGGACAATCTATAAGGCTGCTGAAATTGAGTTAGGACAAACATGGCGGAACTGACTGGCAGAACATTACTACATACTCTAATCTAGCACAAAATTCCTTGTCGGACAACGAATCATTGAGCCATCATCCACCAAGATACCCGCACAGCAGCCATGCCTTCTAGTGATCAACATAATGATACCATCGCCCAAGTAAGTTGATTCGAGCATGACCAGGAATCGCACTCCAATGGATACATACGATTCGAGCGCCTTGGTATTGCTACATTCAACACGAAGATGCTGATCGCTAGCAACAGGCTTTCAGGGATATTACAAGGTATGCGTGCAAGACAATCAACCCTTGTCCTCACCTAACAGGATGGTCCCAGTGGCGAAATGACAGCTCTGGCGCTGGAAAATCATTTGGACAACCTGGAAGAAAAGATAGAGGAGTTACTGAACGCTTTTGAAAAGCACCCAGAAATTGAGCAGACGAATGGGCAATGCTATAATCAAGACGAGGTGACATCGACGCAAGCTCATGTTGAGAAGGAGTTGCGAAACAAGCCCTCCAAGTGAAACTGGCCATCGGCGTCCTTCTCTACCACGCCCTTCTCAGTAATGATACCGTCAATAAGTGTGGACGGTGTGACATCAAAGGCCGGGTTCCAGACATTGATGCCATCAGCGGCTATGCGCACAGTTTCTAATTCAATACCATTGGTAGACTTGTTGGCACGTGGTCCTCTGACAGTTGTGACCTCGGAGGCCGCACGTTCCTCGATAATGATTTCATGACCGGACGGGGTGGCCAGATCAATTGTAGTAAGCGGTGCAGCAACGAGGAACTTCACACCGTGATACCTTGCAAGCACAGCGAGGCCATAAGTACCAATTTTATTCGCCGTATCTCCGTTCGCAGCCACCCTATCCGCTCCCACTACGATGGCATCTACCTGAGTACCAGACTTCGCAAGTAGAGCAGCGGCCATAGAATCTGTTATGAGGGTGGCGGGGAGACGGTCGTGGACCAATTCGAACGCAGTCAACCGAGATCCTTGATTGTAGGGTCGTGTCTCGGTGCAGTAAGCATGGTTGAGATTGTCTGTAGACGCAAGGGCGCGGATAACTCCGAGCGCAGTGCCGTAACCTGATGTTGCAAGGGAGCTGACGGCGGGTTAGAATCGGATCACCTGCAGTTGAGCTTCGTTGTACTTACCCCGTATTGCAATGGGTGAGAACAGTAGCCTTCGACTTGCCCACGGCATTGGCCATGATCCATTGGGCACCATGCTTTCCAATGTTTTTGTTGTCCTCAATATCCTTCATCAGCATTTCCTCTGCTGCTTGTATCAGAGCAGTAGCAACGCTGCGCCCGGTTGATCCAGGCCTCTGTGTATGATCACTCGCCACGGCCCTAAGCTTCCGAGCAGCATCGGCAAGATTTACTGCCGTGGGTCTGCTGCTCACAAGGTAATCTAGCTTGTCCATGATAAAGGCTTGAACCTCTGGGGCTTCCGAGGGAATGCCGTTGCATGCCATAAGGCTATGAAGTTCAGATGCAAGAGCGAGGGCCGCTACAATGGCAATAGCGGGTGCTCCTCTTACACGCATATCTTTTATAGCGTGCCATGCTTCCTCACTTGATTGTATCGTTATGTATTGTTCCACATATGGAAGCTGCAGTTGATCTATGATGGACAGATTGCCCTCGTTATATCTGATTGCCTGTAAAGTCATGATTCTGTTCGATTCGAAAGAGGCGAACTGATTCAAAACTTATGAACGCTATACGTTCCTTGCGAGGACACACACTTGGAAATAAAGCAGAAAGTAAGCTCTGCAAGACCGAGTACGAAAAGATAACGAAAGACCGAATGTGATGTTGGCTGGATGGTTTGAAAAAATGAAACTAGCCTGACTTGCTGGTCTGTAACACAGGACTGAACCCAGAATCGCACTTTTAACCGTTAGGTGGGGCACAGTGTCTAGGTCACTGCCGCGCCTTATAAAGCAGCCTCTAGTCAGACGGGTGCCCCTCCATGAGCGATTCCTGGTTTGCGCAATGGAAGCAGTGCAGATTCTAAAGTATAACTATCTTTTTATTTGACACGGGTCTTAAATAAGAGATTGTTTTCGCTGCTGAAACCCTCGTTCAGAGGCGTTTGGAGTGACTATCTGCGCTAATCATTTAATTGATAGAAAAGAGTCGCTAACAGAAATTCATAGTATTAACGCGCGGATATATACAGCACTATGAGAGTCGAAGAGAAATAGTTAGACGTGTTCATCTCCTTAGGTGTGACAACAAACCATTATTTCCGCGAATGAAGGCATCCCCGTAACTGCGGGACAGATTTCCATTAACAAACTCCTCAGATTTTTCCAGAGCGATATTCATATAGCCATCTACCGATTGAAGTTCCCCTGAAGAGTCCGTTAGCGTTTAGTATTCCTGTTCTTCGATTGTATATATCTCCTGTCCCCGATAAGAGTCGTACTCTTCTCCTGTACCAGGGGATAAAGACTCGATTTTGGCAGAAACGGTAGGTAGAACAAAGCAGAAGATGATTGTTCACCTTTATAGACAACGCCTGAGTTCAATTTAACAGTAACTGGGGCGCCAATAATTTCACCCAGAAAGGCTGAGGGATCCTTGCCATCAGATGATGCACCGTTCTCCATTTTGTTGTCCTTTCTCTCTTCCTTTTTCTAAGCTTTGAACAAGGGCTGGAAATGCTCAGCAGGCGCTAGGTGATCGTGATTGGCAATTTCACTGATTTAGTGATTGGGGGTTATCATCAGTCTTAGCCCGAAAGGGATTAGACGAAGGTCCGGGTCATAAAACACGTGCCTCTCCGTAAGCTGTAACACTGTAACATTGAGTGCTGTTTTATCAAGTATTCTGGATGACTGCATCTGGTCAACTACTCCGGATTCATTATATTTCCATTGCGATTTTCAATTTACACTTATCAATACCTTTAACCACGTCCAACTCAAATGCGTTCGTTTTTCAAAAAGCCTTCATGGGCAAGCAGGGGAGATGAGGGAACAGACCCGCATTTCTACCGTCATGCTGGTCAAGTCTATAATGACATTATCACTGCCAACCGGAAAGCACGTGCTAGCCGACTGTCTGTACTGCATGCACCAGAGCAGGAACCAGAGCAGGAACCAGAGCAGGAACCGGAGCAGGAACCAGAGCACAAAAACTCCAAACGTCGACGTCTCTCCTGCAGACAGCCTTCCGCAGAAAGTTCGTCAGGGGCCCTCACTCATAATGAAGCACTGCACAATGCGAAACAACCATTGGATTATAATGCTTCTCATAAGCACTTACAAGAGACCAATAATAATGGCGATAGTTGTCGTCCATCCGCGGGACTCTCATCTTGTGGTATCACAGTTGGAATTGCAACAGAGACTGATGACCAATGTTGTGAGTCACTACCTGATGTGGAGCTCATTCAAGTTGAGACAATCCGTGCGCATTCAGAAGTTACAAAAGCAGTCAAAGAGAATAAGATTGCTTCCGTGCAAGAGTCACAATTTCAAAATGCTCGAGAAGTTGATGAGACTGTCAGACCCCATAATCACAGTCTTGCCCATAATCAAGCAATAGTTCAGATCCTCATTACCTCAAAAATTCCAAATACCAAACCATTGATTGTCCGCCGAAAAATGAACCAACCTCTAAAGGATGTCCGTCTAGCATGGTGTAATCGCCAGAAATTCACCGAAGAGATGCAAGAATCGGTCTTCCTGACCTGGAAGGGTAAGAGACTGTTTGATGTTACTACATGCCGAAGCCTGGGAATCCATGCAAAAGGCGGTAATTTGAACGGACATGACACATTCCACTTAGATCTGGAGGATATACAAATTCACATGGAAGCTTCTACAGAAGACGTTCTCAGCGCTGATCTTTCACACTCACAGACTGTGACTGACGCCAAGTCCAGTCCGGAATATCCGAGCTGGAATGGAGCAACTTCGTCCCCAGACAGGATACTATTAAAGTGTCCCGGGTTTGGTGATTTGAAGGTAGAGCTGAACCTGGAGATGCAGGTATCAGAGCTAGCTGCTACCTTTCGTGCTGCTAAGCAGATACCCGCAACCCGTGATATACAACTTGTATTTGACGGTGACCGCTTAGAATATAATGCTTATCTTGCAGACTACGAGCTCATGAACAGCGATCTTGTGGAGGTTATAATCAAGTGAACGAGATACAGGGATGTAGGCAAAATATCGAATATGTTCAAAAACCGGTTCACATATCTAATAAACAATTTGTACTAGACTAAATATTATCAGTCATTTCGAAATTTGTAGTGGTCTTATATTTTTCAAAACCTACAGTTTGGTCCTGAAATTGAGTTCTATCTTCTCTTAAACCTTCCCAGGAATGAGCGGGGGAGGAAGGTATCATTACCCAATGTGAAACATGATTTCACGGCATCATACCATACCAGTGATGTTTATCTGCGCCGTAGAAGACAGCTGCCGTTGTACTCAAGTCTGGATTATTTCATTTTCAAGTCTTTGATTTCTTCACAGGCATGTGCTTGCCTAGTAACTACCCCCTGATTCGTAGCATGCTAGCTTAAATTTCGCTGAGGCTTGAGAAACGGCAGTCAATGTATGAAAATTACCGATAACGTAAGACACTAAAAATTTCCCACCCAATATACCCAAAGCGAACTCTGAAGGAAAATGTAGCACCGTCGCCCACTTTCTTCATCTTGGGTTAATATCTCTATTCAAAATGAAGCTCATCACTGTCAACTTCCTGACCTGTGCTGTGAAGGGGTGCAAAACAGCAGCAGCATCATATCCGCTACATTTTCGAGATGCTGAATTAGAATTGCAGGAACTGGAGTTCCAGCCAGAGTTCATACTCAATATTATTCCTCGGATTGATTGGGAAGGGCTGCGAGTCATGGCAAATGAGGTGCGTGTACATTCCTGGTTCAATGCAAATCATACCATATGCTGCTGTATAGGCCGTTTAGACTCACCCGGACATAGCTCGGTTTTCCCAAAATCCCAGACACCAAGCCGGAAGGTGATGCGCTTAATGATGAGCAGCTTCTAAAAGAACTCCACAGGCTCTTGTTAGAAACACAGGTTATTGAAGGAAGATTGTGTTGCGGAAATTGTGGCCATGAATATATGATCAAGGAGGGAATCGTTAACTTTCTTCTTCCCAGTCATTTGGGTCTGATATTCCTTTCCGTTATATTTGTCCTTGACTCTGCTGACCACGCGCAGTCTAAATGCATGAAGGTGTGAGTTCAAGTGAGTCCGGTCACTGAAAGCCGAGATGCCTGTCCAGGAATCTTTTGGTCTCTTATTGACAGGAACATTTGTTACCTTCCGTCAATCGGCTTTGCATCTACCGATACTGCCTGCCAGCCGGCTGTCAACTCTACGTAATTAAAGGATCGCAAGTTACTTTGGAACATGAAGTTCCACGAACTCTTTGCAGCTGGTCAACTCATATCATGAGAAACGCACTTCGTTGTCATAAAATACAATCCTACCAGCCGGATGCTGGTCCTTCTCTCGACCAATTCCAAATGAACGCCGTCAGACTAATGCATCTATCTATAGATGGAATTGCAAACCAAGATTGGGGAAGGTATCGAGATTTGAGTGGGTGGGTGTGGAAAAGGAGAGAAGGAGAGAGAGGGTGAGGGAGAGACAAAGAGTAGTGGGGAGGAAGTTCTATTTTGAAATGGATTCCGGGAACTCAGTGGAAGCCTTAGTTGAGAAAACCTTTACACCCGGTCGAACCACAGAGGCATGGGATTCTGTCATCGCTATCCCACTCCCTCTCAAATTTGTAGTCATATGTCAGCTCTTCATCTGTTTATGGAGTATGTTAGTACCTTTTCAATTTGACCAATACATGCCATGCCCACTTACCCCTTTCGATGTCTCGTAATGCATAGATGACGATTCGCTTGCTGCCATCGACCTTTATAATTTTCGCCGTGCAATTCGGCGTACAGCTGTGATTGATAAACCTGGCAATACCACCCCTCTTTGTCGCATCTATAACCGTGTTTTCGTCGATACGGAAAAGGTAACTACTACCGATTCCGCTTTTCAGGTAACGCCGTTCTCTCATGTCAGCGACCTGCTGCCGGACCTTCTCACCCACATATTCAATGATCATATCGTTGGCAGAAATGTTCTCTTCTGCATAGAGGCCCCAATTATGGATGGCTGATCGAGCGAAACGAACTGGCTTCTTCCGTTTCTTCAGCTGATTGAACCGGAGAACATCTCCTTCTCCGCTCTGAGTTGGAAGAGCCTGCTTTTGAGCGTTGATATCAGCAATGAGACGGCGATTGTTAACCCTCGTTGAACGGGAAGTGGACTTCGAGATCGTTTTTGCTGCAGCAATCCTTGCGGCTTCTGCAGCAACAGCATGCGGATCGCTCTTCGCCCTAGCTTCTCGCTCTTCACGAGCCTTTTGAACTTTGATCCGATGCGGCAGATATTTAGATTTCTCCGACTCCAAGATCCGTTTTCTTCCCTCAGTTCTCGCTGCCCCAGTCGTGTTTGAAACATAGTAACCGGGAATGACGGTCTCCTCGCGTACCGGACCAGACTCTTCAGGGCGATTAAGTGCCTTGATCTCCTTTTGTCTCCAAGCCCAAGCTGAAAGGTTCCCAACATTGGATCTCGAAAACTCTCGTAAGACATCACGAAGAAAGCAAAGATCCTCTTCATCCTTGACTAAATTCTGCCAACCGTCGAGATCCAGCACAATTGATTCGTCGTCATCGACCGTTGAGCGAGGCTCGTCATTCGACACACGCCATTCAATCTCCGTTCTAGGCTCTTCAGTCTGCTTGCCATGCTCAAAACCACCAACTTGAGATACAAGATGGCGATGGTCTTTGCCAAGACTTTTGAACTCGACATCAGCACTCCATGAGTCCATGAGTGCATCATCTTTTTGGCCATGCCCTGCTAATTTACCGTGAGAGACCAAGGGATCCGTGCCAGTTACAGATGGTTCATCTGCCGCTGCGATGACATCCTGGGTGGTGACTGACCGAGATGGGGAGCATGCCATGTCTTGGTCCTCCCCAGATCCTGCCGCATCATCCATATCGAAGCCTTCATCGCCTCCTTTCTGTCTCTTCCGTGCCTTTGCTCGCTCATCATCCACCTTTCTTTTGCGTGATGAAGATTGGAGTCGGTCAGTGACCTGCTCGGGAGCCTCGTTTGGCGAATCGCCAGATATATCATCTCTCGTGATGTCTACATCGTGAGACCTATCGCTATCGGTAAGCCTTTCGGCAACAGGAACATCCAACGTTTCAGAACCGATCCGATCCGAGTCTTCCTCTGAATCAGAGGTCTCAGAACTCATACGGCTCGGGGCACGACTGTCTAAATCTTCAGTGTCTCTGGTAAACGGTGTCCTTTGCTCATCGTCTGAATCGTCCACATCGTGTAGTTGCTGGAGACGATGGTAAAGTGGTCTTACTTCCTTCTTTCGTAAGGGCTGTTTTCTTCTTTCATCCAAGAACGCAGCGTTCGTGCGATCTAGTCGATGTGCCTTTCTGATCCGTGGAAGAGCCAGTATGTTCAGACCAGACGAACCCAAAGGATTCCTACTGGTTGACAAGTCAGAGCGTGAGTCAGGTGTGCCAGCTGAACTGTCGAGGTCGATGCGGAACATAGGCCTTTTAGCCCCCTCCGGCTCAGGAATCCCCAGCCTCTCCCTCTTTGTAGCATGTCGAACTGGATCCAGGTAGTCATACAAGGCCGGTGCTGCAATTCGAGACTTCACATCTTCAAGTAATTTGTCTCGTAGGTCCCGTATTATTATTGCCACCACCTCTCTGCAAGGGTCCAGATCCAGGGCACGTTGTCTTTTTTCTTCTTCAACGTCCAACTCTGCTTCCCTTTTCAGCCTGTCCTTTTCGGCTCGCTCTCGCTGTTCAGCCTGCAGTCTTTGGGGACTTGGACTTCGTTCGTAATTAGGATTCCCATAGGGCTGACTCTCCATGTTCATGATGTATGTGAACAGAGGTTTCATATGGCACATCTTGTAGCATCTTTCGGTTTCTTCTTCGCCGCGCCTTGAATTCTCAAAAACAATGTAGTACCCTGTTTTATCGCAACGTATGTCTTTCCAGTCGAATAGTTTGAGCCTTTTCTTCAGATGCGGAACGGTGGTACTGAGGACCGGTACGTAACAGTGTGCGATGAATATATATGGGTCACGCTTGATCTGACTTAGTATAGGTATTTCCTCCACCAGTGATGGTACAACAGGCTTCAGGAAGCTTGCCCTCGGCCCTTCCGGGACTGGGACCGTTGGGCGCATTTGGGACCTTCCAGAAGGGCCCTTGGGAGCCGTCGGTGGAGGCTCATTGTTCTTTGCCGAGACGCCCGTTTTAGGTTCCTCTGCACTTGGAAGGTTGTTCCTGTCCCCCATCCTCTGGGAGTCGACTGCCCTTGTTACTATCTTTGCCGAGACGATGCCATCCCGGTCTAGCTCGACTCTGATTCTGCGCGTTCCAATCCGTTGCTCTTTTTTGCATTCATAATAGGCTCGCCTGGCTGCATTCGCCGCGAGAACAGGCCCGCCTCCTCTGAAAGATGCGCTGTCTTTATATTTGACTGAACATATTCCCAAAAATCTACCGGTTATTGGATCGGTGCGGTTGTTGATTTCAGCAATCTCTCCGAAACTCGAGAATAACGCATTTATTGGGGCAATTGGGGTCAAAGGATCGAATCCGGTGACCACTATCTGTACCGGGGGTCCAGGACCAATGGTTGTCGAAGCGTCGTATGGCCAGTGTTTCAATGAGTAAGGAGCTGGCCGAAATTTGGTCTTTTGCTTGCAGCCACCACCTCGCGAATAATTGGATATCTTTAGACGAGGGTCTGCTGGTCGATCATCTTGCCCATTAGGCACTATATCCACATATCGCGCTTTCCTTCGCTTCTCCTTGGATGATATCCGCTTCTCTGAATCTGGGTCGTAGACTAACTTCCAGCCCCTCACGTTTCCAGAAGTGCGACTTTGCGATCGGGGCGTTGGTGGGGTTTGCAGGGGCGTCATGGCGGGCTTGATGTCGTCGGTCTTCATGGTGCCTGAACTATCTTCGATCCCGTTGGCTATCCTAATGTGAGATGGACTGAGCCTCTGAGCGGGCGACGACTCCGCGTTAGTGAGTGGCGTAAGCGTATCGAGACGCGCTTCATTTCCATATGCCGTGCTATGCTTATGTGTCGATGGGCGGGAAGCCGAAACGCTCACACTGGCAGAACTTGCAGGTCCATCACCGTTGACAGTAGGCAAATTCTGTTCCTCCACGTTAAGACTCGGAGTCAACTCAAGGATTGCCTTGGGCTCTTCAGGAAGCGCACGCCCTTCATCGCTATGATCGTGTTCCGGATGGGCCTCGGAGCGAGGCCGCTCCCGGACGGTCTTGCGCTTTTGCTGGAGGACGGACGGTGCGGTTGGGAAGAAGTCTGCAAATCCTGCTGAGGAGCGCGACATGTTGAGAGGTGGCTACAAGCCAAGACCACGACAGCTCCAACCAACAGGTAGCATCCTTGGTAGTTGTATAATACTCGGTGCACGGATTTATTGGCAGGAAATATCCTGGGCACAAGGCGGTAACGCGAGAAAAGTAAATCAATAAAGTCTGGAGAGAGCGGGTAGAATTGAGAGAAGCTGGCTCGGGCGGAGTTAAAAGGAAAGGACGGTAACAGAAGGGGTGGGTTTACAATTCCTGGGTTAGAAAAAGTAAAATTAAAGAGGGTAAGATCGAAGAAGGAAGGAAGGTAGGTAGGGAAAGAAAGCAGAGAAGAGGCTGTACTGATTAAGAGACTAAACAATCTGGTTTTCCCCGTTCTGGTGAGCCCCTACCAACGCGACTGGAAAAGCGCGCGGAGAGAGCGATTCATGGCAGGAATTGGCTTGCAAGGTGGCGGGGAGCGTAACAATCCATGTGCGATTGCGATGGATGGCTCTAAACACGGCTGTCGGCTAGGGAAGAAGAGAGAAGGCGCAAAATGAAGGGGCAGAGAAGTACTGCACATTGCCATGAGGTCTGCGAAGTTATAGAGGATTTTCGCGTTTCGACGTAGAATATCTTTCCTTGCCGTTTCTGCTCTTACCACGTACAGTAGTGGTGCGGAGTACGGAGCGATGGGTAGAAAAGCCATCCACCATACTTTGTCACCTAAGGCCAATTACTCCTGTCTACTACCCTGGATATTGCCTAGCCAGGACTTCGTCAAACACGATGTGGAATTGTCAATTCCTACGCTAGTCCTGAGCCGATATTATCCTCTGATCATCTAGCGTATGATCAATGTTATGTGCTGTAGTGACCTGACTTGATTTTGCGAACGACATCGACAACGACAACCTAGCGGACGGGAAGGATGTAGATTTTGTCCTAACGAAGCAAACAGATTTATGCATAGTCAGCAGTGCATCTTGATGCCAGGGCTCTGCATGGCACTCCAGAAAGAAGAAAGACCTGGCGTTTAACATTGATTAACACAATTGTTCGCAGTCATGGCATCATCCTTTGATAATACTCATTTTCTGTAATGCAATTGTGGGCGTCATTCCAACATACTCGTATTTGTTTTGCAACCTCTGGAGAGACTGGGTAGTATGGAATACATCCAATCTGTATGTCTAATGTTATATGTATTGAATATGGTGAAGATTGAATAAGGAACGGTAAGTAGTTATTGATAGGACTCGGACCTGAGCTTCACGCCCAATGTCTTGCAAGACCGGAACCCTTCCGATTTGTAACAGCTTGAATGTACTGATGAAACGGCAATGTTGGACCGTCATCCTCGCGAGCTAGTGGGCATGGGATTTTAGAGGTACACACAGAGTGTTACTTCATCGACTCTCGATAGCCTCCTGACCTGAACAGGCTATTAGTAAAGGTAGATTGAGTGGTCAAACCGATAATAGTGTGCTAGAAGATATATGAGCCTCTTAACTGCACTTCGGCAGTGACAAGACACTTACAGTCGTTCGTGGGTCAAACTAAATACTCAACACTGGAGCAATTTATTGTCTGCCTGCCTTAAGTATCAGTCGTTTTCGTGCTTACAACAAGGGAAACCCTATGTATGAACATAATTATGCAATTGAATTTGCAAGCTACGCATCGCTCAACATACTTGCTTTTGGAGGGGCAGATATCTATGCACCAATTCAAGTAATGCGAGAACCGCGGAGAGGAAAAACAAACCGTACACATGCAAACTACCAGTAAGTAGTTAGAGAGCATCAGCCTCCGAGGCCTATTAGAGCTGAAAAACCCTACAGCACTGAGGTGTGGGGCTTCTACTCCGTACCTAATCGGTATCCATCGCACAGCAAAGCTGACTAGTATTGGCGACGGTGTGGGCGGTACTCCATATGTAAAACCACAGATACGCTGAGAAACCTATGAATGTTGTCGGGTATGCAGAGTCTTATACCGTGCGACAACAGAACAAGCATAATAGACCTTAAGGTTTGACTACTTAGACAGTAAAGTTGTCCGTGTATCTACTCCTTACTTCCTGGAATCCGGATACGAATCATGAAAGATATATCGAGTGTTGCATGTAGGCCACTTCTTTGTCTTTGCCACCCAGTCGGCGGTGTGCCCGCATGCTCGGTAGGCATTCTGCATCTACGAAAGTGTTTATTATTTCTGGTACGTGAGACTCGTATTCCAGGTCCCGTTGAAAGGCCTGTCACATATATAATAAATAAGAAAAACTGAAATGCCCAATCTACTTAGACAAGAGAGCTGGCGGCTCCTGAAGTATGGTTTTGGGATCTTGTTTGGTGAACCGCTACTATTTAGTAATCGGCTTAGGAAAGGGGAGCCTCGAGTTTCTGGTTCAGTTCCCCATGGGTCAGATGAAGTACCCAGGGGATACGCACGGTGGCCCCTTTTAAAACACATCGCGACAATTACCCCTCCCCCTTTTCCCACTCGATTATTTCGGTTTCCATGGGCAAGTTTACACCAGAGGCAAAATCTATTGTGGGATACGACTCAAGCACAAAGAGGGGCTCTCTCACGATGTAGGGTCTCTCTATACCTGCCAGGTTCTTTGTTCCAAGACACATACATAACTGCTACTGCCGACATGGGTCCCGCACCTGATCTCGCCTGCCGCTAACAACTTGATGTGTTGCATTTTCCAATTGTAGGAGTACATACCTATCTCTCAAGCAGATCATCACGACCATCGGGAGGGAGGGCGAAGTGATAGTATATTTATTACCTAGCGCTGAAGTTATTATTAGAAACCTATGTTTAGAAGTTCCCTAGATCATATACTCCGTCTCAGCATTCGAACCAGATCCATGGCGTCAGGGAAAGAATTTGCCTAACTTGACTAATAATAGTTAAAAGTGGAGCGTTATTCTGACCATGCAGGTGGGGGTGAGTATCTCACTTCGGTATCTACTGAGCAATTCGTACAAGCTAGTACAATAATACTCTATCGCTACCTTGGATGCGGATGGCCCTGGCCTGACTCAGGTCACGGGTGAAACATACCAGTCGATTGTGTGAGGCGCAGGGTGGGCTTATTGGCTGCTACCTCATTTGATGAATGGCTGAGAGTGCCTATAGCAGCTTCCCTGGTCTGTGTGTGCCAAGGTGGGTCGATCTCACCACATAAAACATAACAGCTCCCCCTCCTTTCTACCCTCCCAATTGTTTGTTGATCCCAGTGAACCATCTCCTCAACCTCTCCGTGTCTTTTCCTCCTGATTCCTCCTTCTTTCAACCCACCTTCATACTTACACCCTTGTTCATCACCCTTCTCATAAGTAGTAAGTCGAATACATTTCCGAACACAATGTTCATTGTTGGTGTCTTGATTAACATGGATCTCCCTAGGTGAACTTCTCGATATCCAGAAATAGTGTCGTCTTCTTGGAGCGTCAAACGGCCCCCTACCCTCCCTCACGTCTCCGAGTAATCACGTTGAATAAAAACCAATCATGTGGTATGTATGGCTCCAGAGCTCAATTCTGTATATTCCGATGTCTAACACAAACTCTCAAGTGGCATTTTCGGCTACATCAACTACCTTGTCGAAAGAGACCGCAGGTTCATTCTTGATACTATACTTAACGGTTGGTCCCCTCTCCGTCGAGCGAGCCTCTGTCATGTCTCAAATCGCTCCCCGAACATCTCCCAATATATCTTGTATCCTGACATTGCGTAGGTCTTTCGAGACTCGAATACCGCGGTTATGATTCAGCCGGTCTCGCAGTCGATGGCGACAAGAAGAAGGAAGTCTGTGCCTTCAAGGAAGTTGGCAAGGTCGCTAAGTTGAAGGAACTCATTGAAGAGTCCAAGCCCGATTTCACCAAGACCTTTGAGTCCCATGCTGGTATTGCTCACACACGCTGGGCCACTCATGGTACTCCGTCTCGCCAGAACTGTCACCCTCACAGGTTGGTTTACTGAAATTATGCCCGCCGATTGGCTTAGGCTAAGGAAACATGAGAACTAACGTATGGCCATAATCCAGATCTGACGCCAACTGGGAGTTTGCTGTTGTTCACAATGGTATCATTACCAACTACAAAGAATTGAAGGCCTTGCTGGAGAGCAAAGGATTCCGCTTCGAGACCGAGACAGACACTGAATGCATTGCCAAGCTTACTAAATATCTTTACGATCAGCAGCCAGACATTGACTTCACGGTATTGGCCAAGGCTGTTGTCAAAGAACTCGAAGGCGCTTTCGGTCTCCTCATCAAGTCTGTGCACTATCCTCATGAAGTTATTGCAGCCCGTAAGGGTTCCCCGCTTGTTATCGGTGTGCGAACTTCGAGGAAGATGAAGGTGGACTTCGTTGATGTGGAATACTCCGAGGATGGCCCCCTTCCAGCGGAGCAGGCTTCTCAAAACGTTGCCATCAAGAAGTCTGCTACTGGACTGCTTGCACCTCCTGACAAGTCACTCCTGCACCGGTCTCAGTCCCGCGCTTTCCTTTCCGATGACGGCGTTCCTCAGCCAGCCGAATTCTTCTTGTCATCAGACCCATCAGCGATCGTTGAGCACACCAAGAAGGTCCTTTACCTTGAAGACGATGACATTGCTCATATCCATGAAGGACAGCTGAACATCCACCGTTTGACCAAGGATGATGGCACGTCTAATGTCCGCGCCATTCAGACCATTGAACTTGAGCTACAGGAAATCATGAAGGGTAACTTTGATCACTTTATGCAGAAGGAGATCTTTGAGCAGCCCGAATCCGTGGTCAACACTATGCGCGGTCGACTGGATGTCGCAAACAAGCAAGTCACACTGGGCGGTCTCCGGCAGTATATTTCTACCATCCGTCGGTGCAGAAGAATCATCTTTGTGGCTTGTGGAACCAGCTACCACTCATGCATGGCCGTGCGTGGTGTTTTCGAGGAGCTTACTGAGATACCTATCTCGGTTGAACTTGCCTCGGACTTCCTGGACAGACAGGCACCTGTCTTCCGTGACGACACATGTGTTTTCGTTTCCCAGTCGGGAGAGACAGCCGATTCCCTGATGGCCTTGCGCTATTGTCTCGAGCGCGGTGCCTTGACTGTTGGTATTGTTAACGTTGTCGGCTCTTCCATCTCCCTCTTGACTCACTGCGGTGTGCACATCAATGCTGGGCCAGAAATTGGTGTCGCCTCTACGAAGGCATACACATCGCAGTTCGTGGCCATGGTTATGTTTGCACTCTCGCTTAGCGAGGATCGGGCTTCCAAGCAGAAGAGACGCGAGGAGATCATGGAGGGTTTGGCCAAGGTATCGGAGCAATTCAAAGAGATCCTGAAGCTCAATGAGCCCATCAAGCAAATGTGCGCAAAGTTCTTCAAGGATCAGAAGAGCTTGCTGCTGCTGGGCAGAGGTGGCCAGTTCCCCACGGCCCTTGAAGGTTAGCAGGTCGATATTTCTTGTCACCACTCCTCATTAACATGATTTTATAGGTGCGCTTAAGATCAAGGAGATCTCCTACCTCCACTGTGAGGCTGTTATGTCAGGCGAACTGAAACACGGTGTTCTTGCCCTTGTGGATGAGAACCTGCCTATCATCATGATCCTTACGAGGGATAATATTTTCTCGAAATCACTCAATGCTTATCAGCAAGGTTAGTCAATCCTCCGCTCACATTCGCAAGCTTTATTCTCTAACCATCCAACAGTCATTGCACGAGGAGGCCGTCCTATTGTGATCTGCAACTATGATGACCCAGAGTTCTCTGCGGCTCAAACAGAAAAGATTGAGGTCCCGAAGACGGTCGATTGCCTTCAAGGTCTTTTGAACGTTATCCCATTGCAGCTTATCTCGTACTGGCTTGCAGTGGGAGAGGGTCTCAACGTCGATTTCCCCCGTAACCTCGCTAAGTCGGTTACTGTTGAATAGAGGGCGATGAAGAAAAACGATAGATTGTGGGCACGAGAGTGGGAACTTTCAATTAATCCATAGGGTTTCTAAATTAATGATGGTAACATGTAAACTTTGCAGTATTGGTAGTTTTTGCCCATTTCTCTCTTAGTTGCCGTTTCCGTTTAGTTTCTGCTTCCGTTGTTTCCGTTTGTTTGAGGTGTGTCTGGCCAGCTCGTCGCATGGCAGAAAGTAGCAGCCAGTAGTGTGTCTAGTAGTGAACTAGACTTGTACATATTAAGCCGAAGGCAGTAAAGTAACCTGGAATTCCGTGGGTTGAGAGTGGGGGATCTGAGAGATGTTTTATTACATCAGTAAATATTGCTAACGAGATATCTAGCTCAAGGGATCATTACCCCTTGACCCAGCGGGGTACACTTCCGATCCCCCACTTTGCGTGGGAACTCGCACATATATGTTGCACATTGTTTGTCTGTCTCATCAGTTTCCTCGAACAGCACCCTTCTTCAATTCGACAACGATAGTCCCTCGAGACCCTATATTTGGAAATCCCATACAAGAATTCGAACGCGATGACTTCTCTGTCTCTGAAAGGCCCGGGCGCTGCGCAGACCTATGATGGTAATGACGTCTTTCAAAGTGATCGTACGACTATTGATCCGTCTGCTAAATTTTGTTTTTCTCAGGAACTGGGCTACGAATCGCCATTGTCCATGCGAGGTGGAATATGGGCATAATTGGTCCTCTCGTGGATGGGGCCAAGCGGAGCCTCCTTGCAGCTGGAGTTGCTGAGAATAACATAACGGTTCACACTGTTCCAGGCAGTTATGAGTTGCCCTTTGCCGTGCAGAAGTAAGGCCATTGTCATCAAGTCTTGTCTTTCTCGGGGATTTTATTAGTGAGCTCGGAGGCTGGTGCTGACTATGTACGCTGTCAGGTTATATGCGGCTTCGCAGATTGAAGCTGCCAAAGGCTCAGCCTCGGCGCAAGGCATCAGTGCCACCGATCTGCTGTCTTCCTCTACAGCGGACCTCACTAAGGCGTCTCCGCAGTCGCCATCGTCCGATGCACCTAGACCATTCGATGCCATCATTGCCGTTGGAGTGCTGATTAAAGGAGAGACCATGCATTTTGAATATATCGCGGATGCCGTCACTCATGGATTGATGCGTGTGCAGCTTGATACAGGACTGCCGGTTATCTTTGGCGTGCTTACTGTCTTGACTGAAGAGCAAGGCTTGGAAAGAGCCGGCTTGGGCACAAAGGGAATGCACAATCATGGAGAGGACTGGGGAAATGCTGCAGTGGAACTTGGAGCAAAGAAAAGAGACTGGGCCGAGGGTAAAATTGTTTAGTGGACCTTCGGCAAGGCAATGATCTCTTGTTTCGTTTTGAGTTATTCTTCCGTTGATGTATGGTACTCAATCAAGCTCTACAAAAGAGAAATTATCAATTGTATACGTCGAAGATCAGCAACCTTGATTGGCGGTCTTAAGGCACAATTGCCATATAGCATACATTCGTTTACTGTGCATCAGGATATGAGGTTCACATGAATAGGGGTAAAATGACGAGATGAATAATTCTTTGACAGAGTCTCAGGTGTAGGGTTCAGACTGTAAAGTTCACTCCTCCATCCGCTCGCTCTCGTTTGAATCACCCTTTGTTGCGTCTTCTTCATCATCCTCTCCCTCCAGAGCTCTCTTTGCTGCCCGTTCTGCCTCCTCACGGAGTTCTTTAGGTACCTCCTCGTGCCTTCCCTTCGTCGGACCGTCTAATGAACTAATCCAGGTCATTTCCAGTTCGAAGTCCTTGTCTTTACTGTCTTCATGGGCGACATAGATAATCCGAGCCGCTTCCTTTACTCCATCGAGAAGGCTCAGTGTGCCGGAGCCCAGGTCGAGTTTCTCAAGCTCAGCCTTGGCTGCTTGTCTCCCCTTCCCGGTGGCGGCGCCATAATAACCCTTCGAAAGCGTTAGCATCGTCTAGAAGCACCTTTGTAAATTACAAATGCTTACCCAGTACAGGCCGCTTGGCTCAATCATATATAGACCTGGACCTCCAGTCTTAGCGCCCTCGACTTTACCGCCAGAACCCGACTTGGGCCCACTTCCGACCTGACCGTCGACAGCAAGCTCGGCTTCGGAGTCCCAGCCTCCGACAATAGCAGTCACGCCAAAAGGCCTGACACTAGAGTAGAGTGTGTAAGCTTGCACGTAGCTCCCAAGGCGGTTGGATAGCGCAGAAGTTGGAATTGGCCCTTTGTAAACACTTCTCCATGATGAAGCCTCATCACGAGCCCGAGAAACGAAATGTCGCCCGTCTGGCACCAGACCGGCGGAAACCTACCATGGAAGCAACGTATTAGCGCGACAGACTCCTAATCAGCGGTGACGCCCACTGTCATGGACTCAGCATGGATCCTTACAATGCCAACGTGACGATCAACCGTAGCTATTCTCTTATTGGCGCCAGGCTTCAGAAGCTTGCTGGTAATGATCTTCTCTACTGCGAGCACGACACCATCTTTGCACCTGATACCAATGGCTGTCCCTCCATTCTCTACCGCTTTAACGGCATATTCTACCTATTTTGAATAGTCAACAGAGCCGTGTTTGCTAGGAAGGTGGAGCAGGGCGAATGGATACCTGGAAGTTGCGACCATCTGGGGAGAAAACGGAGTTGGAGAGATCGTACCCAGTGCCAATGGAAGTCTAGGTAATGAGATAATCAGTCACGAAGGAACGTCGACTTGGGAGTTGAGGAACGAACCATGGCTGGTGAAGGTTGTTTAACACAGACTCAAGGGATGGAGTAGAATTAGAAGATATGAGAATGTCGATGAGGCCAAGGTGTTGAGATACTGAAGACACTTGAAAGCTTGAGCACAGGCAACGGGGCAGTTAGCAATGTGATCACTCGGGTAAGGTAGGTAGCTAAGGTACGCGTAGTTAGCAATGCCTGCCTAAGCACGAACAGCTGAGCGGGTACATCATCCCCTTCCTGGTATAGACTAGTGTCTTGCCGCTTTTACCAAGCCAGACGCTGTCATGTGATGCGATCCCTGCAGCTTTGCTGGCCCCACTCTGCCGGATTGCGATAAGGGGATAATAAGTCTCGTTGCATCATCCTTACTATACATCTTATGATATACTGTATACTCTACTCGAAAAGGCAAGCTATCGCACAGAATGAGCGCCACATTTGATTGGTTCTAAGATATCAACGCATGTAAAATTTTGTCACCTGATCAATACTATATGTTTGAGGGGATACGGTATGCAAACAACCGTACCTAGTAGTATGCATGTGGGCTGGCATGCACTACTGGTTTCCATCCCCGCCGGCTTTCCCCTGTCGGCCTTAAAATGACCATCTTCTGAATGACGTGGATGGTTCAATCAGTACATAACCAGCATCCGGTGGGTGAACAGCCACGCGACTTTCTGTCGGTAGGTAGGTATATTCTACTTTCTGTGAACAAGATATTGTTAAGGCTGCATGAATAAGGTACTGATCCTACTGACCTTCATTATAAATGCCCAACCATGTGTCTGTTTCGGGCATCGACATGTATCGGTTTACATTTGACCAGCGCCTCCCCACCACTTTGCTTGATGTTTCCTATTAAATCTTCCTACCTACTGAGCAAGCATATCCTTTACTTCTGCGTGATTCCCTTCAGCTAGAGTGTTGTATCCCAAACTGGACCTGGAGCTGTCTAGGGCTTCAATATTCAATTCCCCTCCACTTCGCCGCCCGCCCTTTTATTTCGAGAACACCAAGAAGGAGAAGGTCAAGCGTGCATCCTTTGCCATCCATTTGCATCCCCAAGATACATAGACGACATGTCTTCATCTATATTGCATAGCTGCCCCTGCTGTGGGCAAGTTACAGATATCTCCAATGCACTTGCCGCTTTCATCGAAAACCCCTATTGTAGCCAGGTAGATACTTTTAACCTTTTGTTTTCATAAGCTCTCTGACAAGAGAACCATGCAGTGCGGATTGTCCGCTTCTGAAAGCGATTTGAAATTACAGAATGATCTCTCAGCACTCTTCGACAAGGGAATGAACTTAGAGACGCCGTTGTCACCCGAAGAGAGCGTGGGAGTACAGCGTCCTGCTCCCTCATCCCCAATTGTCTATAGCATCACACAACATTACCATCACTCTGCGCATGTTGCTCAACAGAATATTACTCGTTCCTCCGAAGGTGTTCATCGCCGCGGCACCAATGCTACCGTCAACGAGACACTCCGACAGCACAACGTGGACCCTTCAACACTTTCGGCCAAGCAAATGGAGCTTTTTGAACATGCCATGCCAGAACAACAATCGCGCCTCATCCAGATGTGGCAGATCTCCCCAGAGCACAGCTATGCAGCAACTAGCAACGTCGTCGGAACTAAATTGCTGGACCAGGAAAGCTCGAATGTAGCCGGCACTGTTGGCCATGCCCCGACTTCATTGAATTGGGCAGCCACAGGTGGTGATCGTGAAATGTGCGATGTGCCTGATAGGAAGGAAAATGGAGACGAAGGACACCAGTATGCTGAGCCATATATGGTCCATGGGTATGAGGCGATCGCCCGGGAATGGCATGAACTCCCTTCATCGCAGCCCACACACCTCATGGCTGAACCAACAACCGGATCACCATACAAGCTTTCAAGTGACCCTGTTTACTATGCTCATTGTCGAAGATGGTGGGAACCTACACAGCAAAGTTCGGTGGAGTATCAATACGGTCTATTCGACGAGATGAACCGTCATCCCCAATGCGGCCTAGTGCAACCTCGTTAGATCGAGGGTACAAGATGGCCATGGCGTTCATTCCCAGGTTGTGGTAGTCATTTCTAGATAATGTTACCATAATGATGAGCCTGCGAGTTTCCGGCATGGTGAATGCCCTGGAATATTATGTTTGGATCGCTTTATATTTCCCTGGCTCTCGTCTGGATTGATAACAATCTATTAGACGGTCTAACTAATGCCGTCAAAGAATGCATGTGCTTATAGCGACATCAACTACGGAAGAAGCCTTCTATCTCTAGCCAAGCTGTAGAGGGAGAGAGAACGTGTTAACAGGTTTTTGTAGTGCTATTTTAATATAAGCAATATATGACCATGGGAGCGCACAGACAACTTCGTAGACATGACAAAACTATGCTCCCTCTATCTCCCAAGCTCCCTTTGTTCACCATCTCTCCCTTCTTTCTCCATTCGAGGGCCACGATAGGTATTCATTCAAGATCTGAACCGAAGGGCAAGGACTCAACGAGGTAGTTGTAGCTGCCAGCATCCAAGAGAGTCGGTGCGGTAGATATATTGCGAGAAAGAGTGACTAGACAGTACGCAGCACTTGGTTTGCTGGTCTTCAATTCGGCCTGGATGTAGTATGTTGGATTTTTTTTTGAATTTCAAGCCAAAGCACCGCCCCAAGCCACAGTATAACAGCTTTGGGAGAGAAGATGACGTAGATCGAAAGTAACGTAATTGAAAAGATATGTAAAAGAAGAAGATAACGAAACCCGACTCTGGTTGCTTGAGTCCTAGGAAGACTGGCGACGGGTGAGAAAGAGAAGCATGGGCTCGTTGGAGGCAGTAGCCCAGCCTACTGGAAGTCAGACTCGTCGATATCGGCCATAGCCTCCGCAAAGGCATCGGCAGAGCGCTTGACTTCGCTGCCGGCTTCGACAGCCCGCTTGATCTTGTTGCAAGGCTGGCCAGGCAGGACACACCATCTCTGAAGGGTCTCGGGAGAGGCCTCTGCAATGGCTTCAGCCAAAGCATCGGCAGAGCGCTTGACTTCTCCGCTAGCATCAGCCGCACGCTTGATCATGTTGCATGGCTGGCCAGGGAGGTGACACCATCTCTGCAGGGCAGCAGCCTGCACAGTGGTGGCAGCAAGAGCGGCAAGGACAATAGAGACGAGCTTCATATTTGCAGGAATGTGAGAGGGTTTTTAATTTTCTGAAAGTCAGATAAAGTTGGAACTTGAGGGAATCCTGTTTGAGCTTTGGCTTGACAGTTTATATTTCTTCAAGACTATCAAACACGGAAGAACCAGTGCCTTTATATAGATTGCTAGTAGAACGCAGGGAAACCTGGGTCAACTCTGCCTTGCTGTGCATCAATGGAACATATCGCTATTGAAGCGGGTCCAGAGCCTGAGCCAGCAAAGAGAAGGTACTAGGGAGCAACAACATCCTCCTGAATAAAGCACCAATTGAACAGGAAAGACAACACATCAGTCAATAAAGTAGATGGAGGATAATTTCCCAGTGTATTGAATGACAAGGCAAGAGAAATGAGCCAGAGATTCAATTGACATTGCCACCAATAGAGACAGAATATTGGAATATGACTATTCATTTGGTGTTAGCTACCGGCTTCAATAAGGAATAGAAAGGAAGTAGACTGTATAGTAAGGTCGAGAGGGAGGGGGAAAGAGAGAGACCCAGGAATCCCAATCAGGAATCTTTCTTTATCCATCGTCCACTTTGCTCTCTACAACCTCATATTTTTTGGTAGTATCGCAGGCTTTCCAAATCTGGGTGTCAATAACACTCAGGCCTAATGAGGTGGTTAATATATCATGTTTCCCTTGTTCTACCAATAAGACAAAGTATGACCAGATTCAGCCATCAATAAGCTACGTATTGAGTACTTTGACTTTGATGAACATGGGTGGTTGTGAACAAAGCACCCGCTCTAGTTCCGCAAATCGGATGTTTTGAGACCCTCGACGAGGACCGGCATGTGGCGGGTCAGCCGTGGTTGCTGGCTGTTTCTTAATCATTACGTACTTTCTTGGGACTTTTCCCCCTTGACAGGAACAGAGAAAAGCTCTTAAGAATAAGATCATGTGGTCGTACATTCGTTTCCCCTTGTGAGAGGGTACAGTAAGTAGGTAGAGGATCCATGTACGTATACTGGACTGGAACCCATTCAGTCAAATTGCTGGTCGGGGCGGTGATAGAGAGATAAGATCGGCCCGCGTATGTAGTAAGTTAGTTGGTTGTCCGACATGTTCTTGAGTGGATGCCGAGACGATCCGCCGTTTTTTCCGGTGTCTCGTGCATCGCTGGCTTTAGGTCTTTTCTCGCCGTCTCCGGTTCCGTCTTTGTCTTTCCTCCCTCTCCCTCCTCTCTCTCTTTTTGCTCTCCCGTCCGCACGTTTTTGGGTCCCCTCTCCTCTCCTCTCCTCCTTTTCGGTCCATTCAATCTTATTGTCCGTTTTTCTCGACTCCTTTGTCCATCAAAATGTTCTCTCTGCGGACGGCGCAACCCGCGCAGGTAAGTGGATGGTTCCTTGCTTTTTGACCGATCAATTCCTTTGTCCGACCCGACTTCGCTCGAATCCTTGCCCTTACTTCCCTCCCACCGCCGCCCGCTACATCCTTTCGCCCGGCTGAATGAGAGAGGAACGCCTGGGCGCACTTGGAATACGAACTCTCATATGCTTTGCTCAATTGCCTTTCGTTGACGATCTACTTTTTTGGTTGTTTCCGATTCCCTCTAACGCGGTTATGCTTGGCAGTCTTTGCTCCGTCGCGTTGCGGCGCCGACTTCCTTCCGTTCCTCCATCCCGGCAAGATGTGCGTCAACCTTTTCAGTCGCGTGCAATACCGTTCTGCTAGAGACATAATGGTTTATTGACTCTATCACCCAAGCCTTTGCTAGCGTTCAGTCCGATATCTTCAAGCCCACTAAGTATGGCGGCAAATACACCGTCACTCTCATCCCAGGTACCTACACCCGCCTCTTCCTCAACTTGATCAGTTTGCTGATGCCTCGGTGATTCGTTTCCATAAAGGTGACGGAATCGGTGCCGAGGTTGCTGAGTCGGTCAAGACTATCTTCAAGGCCGACAATGTTCCCATCGAGTGGGAGCAGGTAGATGTTAGCGGTGTTGACACCGGTAACAAACACTCGGAAGAGCTTTTCAAGGAGTCCATTGCTTCTCTGCGCCGTAACAAGCTGGGTCTGAAGGGTATCCTCTTCACCCCAGTTGAGCGCTCCGGCCACCAGTCGTTCAACGTTGCTCTCCGTCAGGAGCTGGATATTTTCGCCTCTATCGTCCTCATTAAGAACATTCCCGGCTACAAGACCCGTCACGAGAATGTTGATCTTTGCATTATCCGTGAGAACACCGAAGGTGAATACTCTGGTCTCGAACACCAGTCCGTGCAGGGTGTCGTGGAGTCCCTGAAGATTATCACTCGCGCCAAGTCCGAGCGCATTGCCAAGTTTGCCTTTGGTTTCGCTCTTGCCAACAACCGCAAGAAGGTTACTTGCATCCACAAGGCCAACATCATGAAGCTTGCGGATGGCCTTTTCCGCAGCACCTTCCACAAAGTCGCCGAGAACTACCCGACTTTGGAGGTTAACGACATGATCGTCGACAACGCCTCCATGCAGGCTGTTTCTCGCCCCCAGCAGTTCGACGTTATGGTTATGCCCAACCTGTACGGTGGCATTCTCTCCAACATTGGATCTGCCCTTGTGGGTGGACCTGGTGTTGTCCCTGGTTGCAACATGGGCCGTGACGTTGCTGTGTTCGAGCCAGGCTGCCGTCACGTTGGTCTTGACATCAAGGGCAAGGACCAGGCGAACCCTAGCGCTATGATCCTTTCTGGATCTATGCTTCTGCGCCACCTGGGATTGGACGACCATGCCAACCGCATCTCCAAGGCCGTCTATGATGTGATCGGTGAGGGGTGAGTTTCAAGACTTTCATTTCAACCTTCCAGCTTAATTCAGAGTTGTCGCTGATGCGTAATTCCCTAGGAAAACGAGGACCCGCGACATGGGCGGACAGGCTACCACCCACGAGTTCACCAGGGCAGTCCTGGACAAGATGGAGGCTGCTCTGTAAATTATTACCCACTTGAAAACCGACCTCCTACCTTGCATGTGGTACCTGCTACAATTATGATGATGAGAGCTTGTATAGGCCAGTGAAATGTTTTTATTTCTATCTGTAGACCAAGCCTGGCCTTTCTGACTGTCTCTATAATTTGTACCCCCTTTCACTCCATTTGACACAACGACGCGCGGCGTCGGACACATGATTGTGTGCTATGGCGCGTAAAACTGTACACAAACGTTTGAATTTGGAAGCGTGTCTCTTCAACATCCGGACTGCTTAGCAAAAGATCCCAGTAGACCAACGACAACTGAGGAATCCAGTGTTCAGTAGATACGAACTTCAGCGGCCTGACATTAGCGGGGATGCCATCTCCCTTGGGATGGTCTTGGCTTGCCCCGAGGCAAAGAAACGGCGCAAAGAAACCTCCAAATGCGGAGAAAACTCAAGTGGTATGCAAACGTGAAAATTATAGCCGCGTACCTGTTGCCGAGCCCTACTCTAGCTCTCCAGTAAAGGCCGACACCGGAACGCTGGATCCTTTTCAGTGGTCATTGACCAGCACAGGGGAATCCGCCTATGATAGAACGGTCTGTACCGGTGTGAGGATGTGATCGGGGATTATAATAAGGGCATAGTGATCGCGCTGTACAAGGGAAATCAGAAAGCGGGACGTCGTTTTCTGCCGGTGTATTTCGAATTCGCCTTCACAACCTTGCCTTTCCGGGTCATCTGTTCCTTTTTCCGTAGAATCCAGGCCTTGTCACCCTTCCTGGATGATGCTTGTTTGCCACGCTCCATAGCCCGTTTCCGGGCGTCCAAGACATCCACGTCGTTCATACCATCAACAACACCGGTGATATCACCTTGTAATCCACCTCCTCCAACGGTGAGCACGAGATAGAGTTTGCTGTTTTTTGTACCCGGGTCATCCTCCAGTATACCAGCTCCAAAGCCGGCCTTCATGGCAGCCCCACTGATCATGCTCCGCTGAGCGTCGTTCTTGGGATAGAATTGGCAAACTGCACGACCACCACGCCGCAGGCTAGCATAGAGACCCTCGAAGAAGCGACGAAGACGGTACTCCGGGCTAACATCACTAGACTCCGCATTGCAAAGCCATTGGATAGCACTGATACTAATGGCTGCATCGAAACTTCCTGGCCGGAACGGTACTCCTTGCCCGATGTCAGCCAGGAAGAGATCACCATCGACACCGCGCTGGAGGGCAACATCGAGCATGCTAGGTGAGATGTCCATGCCGATCCAGGTATGCGGGCCTCCGTCTTCCGGAGCCACCTGGGAAAGTATCTCGCCGGAGAGACCAGAGCCGCAGCCAAGATCAAGGATCAAAGAAGGAGTTTTCAGGTCTAGGAGGTCGAGCGCCCGATGGGTCATGTCGGACTGAATGTTACGGATACGAGACGAGGTGGTATATTTTCGGGACTCATTATCATCATAGAATAGATCCGGAGGCCTTGAATAGTAGCACAGTGTTAGTGATATATTGGCTACTGAAATTCCTCGTAATCCACCAAGGGTCACCTACAAGACATCTTCAGGACGCGACATGTTTGCGATCAAGTCCCCAAGTGATTCGGGCGGTTAAAAAGCAGAGCGATGTGGAGGTTTGGAAGAGAGAGGGGAAGTCATTCATACCTCTCTCTATTTTATTTTTTTTTTTTCGGGGGGAACCTACTTTCGTCGGGCGGAGTGTAGCCGCGGGGGCTTGGCATACGGTGCGGTGGTGCACTTTTGTGATAGCCTGAGGCACCGAGGACGGTCCAGATCGGCCAACTGATTGCTCTTGTTACATCTTGCCAACTATCCGATGCTTCATGTTACTACGCCCGTGCCTATCGATTTGAACCGGTCCGCAGCGCCCTCACCCTCGACTTCTGCATAATGTGGATTCTACCCTTGGTAGGGTATTTGGGGGTTATTGTAGGGTTCGCTTTCCTTACGTTAGCGATAGGTACGATATGCCCGCAATGCGCGCGATGATGATGACGATTGGTCTTGCTTTCGTCACCATAGACAACAGAACGAGATGCCGAGCTCACAGAGCCTGTGATGCTATTTGGATTCATCAGACTGACCTGTCTCTAGCCTCCGGTCTTTACTACCTCTCGGAGCTTGTGGAGGAGCATACAGTTCTCGCCCGTCGGCTGTTGCACCGGCTGATATACAGTATCATCGCCGTTCAGATCCTTCTCTACTTGTTTGACCGATTTCCTTTCTCCTTGACCGTCCTCAGTATCGGCTCGCATATCGTATATGCCAGCAATCTCCGCCGATTCCCCATAGTCAAGCTGTCCGACCCTCTCTTCATCCTATCATGCGGGCTCGTCGGGTTGAATCATTGGCTTTGGTTTCGCCACTTTTCACAGCCATTACCTTCATCTCGCGGTGCCAGCAGCTGGCGCCAGCCATATCAGGTTAACGTGGAGGATATGCCAACCTTCACAGAGGTTGCGTCTTATTTCGGACTCTGTGTCTGGCTGGTTCCATTCGCGCTCTTCGTCAGCCTCAGCGCGGGCGATAATGTATTGCCTACCATGGGCTCCGAGTATGCCACAGGTGACCGTGTGCCTACCTCGGGGTTCACTTCGGGTACATTTGCGTCCGACGGAAAGTCCAAGAACAAGGGAATGGCCAAGGCCCTGGTGGATGGCGTGCGGGACTGGGTCAAAGATAACGGGGAATTGATGGGTTTCTGGAAGGGTGAACGGGCAAAAGGCTTCTAGGGACGAGATCATTATCTGCCCTAGTCTTTGTACTAACATTATCTTATCTTGTCGGATACCCTTGGCGTTCTGCTCTCGGATCAATTTCCTACGGGCTCTCAGTGAATGGCTGGAGGGAAGCCTTCATGAGGTACCCACTAGCAGTTACCTGTTCTGGTGAAGTTGTTTTATTTATACTAGCTATATAGGCTAAAGAAACATGCCAATGTGAATCCGCAGTTCTCAAAGTGTAGCATATGCACAGGCCAAAACCAAAGGACGAAATCATAAGGCGTGAGGGTATATTGTTAGGCATGCCTCCTTCCAGTAGGGTTCACGGTGTGTACAATTTAATCATAGTATCACAGTGTGCTCCGTGTCAACTCCGGACTGCAACAGGCAAGGACAGGGAAGATAATTAGAAACAGAGGATACTCCAGTATTATTAGTAGAATTAAGAGTACCCCGTAGTCCTCGGCTAATTGTAGCAGAAGTACAATGTGGTCGTTTCACGTTCGTTTGGATCGTCGAGCTCGGTCGTGACAAAGGAGCCATACTGCAACATATCTGAAAGTCTCAATGACAACAGGCGAATCTTGGCGCGGGGAAGGGAGATATGTAAAGAAGAAACAAGAAACAGCATGTAAGCTTGAGGCTAAAAGGAATTCATGATAACACAACGCTTAATATGACGTAAGGGGCCATTGGAGCACGCCATAATCGTAATTATTCACATACAAGCTGCGTCAAACTTTGAAGAGTCAGCGAATGATATTGATTGGCGAGCTTGAGGAAGGACCCATACCATTTTCACCATGGAGCGATGCAGGGAAGTCCTGATGGTTGACTTCCATGAACAAGAGAGAGCTCTCCCTCCTCTTCGCCTTAGCCGAACGGGAGTTGTCAATATTCGGCGACAACATCCTGTTCATGGACGGCGAGCTTGAATGGCCCATGGTATATTCGTCCGGCCCACTTCCAGTAGAACGTTCATGACTGTTGGATACAGAGCCTTTACTATTCTGCAGGTAAAAGCCATCCATGCCGCCTGAATGTTCACCGAATGTAGTCTGACCATAGCCTGGCGTGGATGCCTCCGGAGCAACCTGACGAATGGGGTACCGGAATTCTTCATGGGAAGGAGAATGATTGACATCCGGCTCCAACGGTTCAGCAGGAGTCTTGAGCACCCCATCAAAAATGTCCTCGAAGTCGGTGAGGAACATTGAGAAGACGGGCGCTGGGATGTTCAAGGTAGGAGCAAAGACAATACCAACATTTCTGATAGTCATCTTATTGACATCAGAGTTGTTTACAATAACAATCAAGAACTGGACCAACGCTCGCAGCAAGGCCAGGTTTGGCTGAGGGAGCCGGTGAACAAGGTGATTGAAAGCGGCGATCTTCTTTTGTTTTTCATGAAGTTCTATATAGGTGTGTTAGTAATAGATCAAATTATACACTGTGAGTACTTACCGAGTACCCGCAAGAACTCTAGATGAAGTTCGCGGGTCAAAACCGTGGTGGGAAGTTCACGAAGGTATTGCTTGAAAAGGGAGGCGACGGCATGTACATCATGATACTGGTCATCTGCGAGAAAGTCCACATCGCCTTCAGTATTGAACCTCTCCTTTAGTGCCTTGACGACAAGATTCGACCCGCTCAACCGGAAGATTCCTTCCTCTGACTCAGCACCTCTAGCTCTGAGATATTCTATGCAACGATATACAACCGCAGGTAAATCGGCATCTATTCCTTGTGGCGCGCAAAACTGTACAGCTTCAGCCAAGGGCAAGCCAAACACTGGCCGGACGAACTCTCGCTTCTCAACATTGTTCTGCACGGGAGCCAGCGAGGAATCATGACAAGCCTGGAGCTGAGTAGCAAGGTCAACAGACGACCTTGTGCGGAAACCCCAAATACTGCGTTTCTTTTCCTTAACGCTCGTAGCTGCTTTGTTGCCCCATGCTCCCGCGTCCTGAATTATAGCTCCATTGGTAGGGCCGGAGATGAGTCTAGATGAAGACTGACCATGGTCTGGACCGGAATCTGCAGGATCGACTGAAGGTCCTGTAGATGCTATCGGGGACTTGGGGATCTGTCGATCAAACGATGGCCCCAGGACAGGTGGCTCGGCAGGAACAGCATCATCGTAACTGAAGCCCTGAACTGCAGCATCAGCGCCTTCGGTGTCTGGATTGTCGATTCCTTTGTCTGTCTTCTTTCCGCCATTTGAGAATAGTTTCGGTTTGGCAGCAGAACTAGTCTGCTGTTTTCCGGTTGCTGATGGCAGCGACTTTGCAGGACTATTGAGGCCATCGTTCTCTGACTGACCGTCAACATATTCAAGAAGTGCGTCCACCCAGGTATCTCTTTCTTCGTCACTCTCGGCACACAGAACATGGCGAACAAGAGCTGACGAGTCCTTGCGCTTGGGCTCCAAGATGAGGAACGCATGGCGATACTGATTGTCGGAGTCCTCCTCGGTGTGGGACGGTGAGCTGTTCCGACCGCTTGCATTCTGCGATTGCTTGCCAATTTGCGCGTTGTACAGTTTGATCGTACCAAGATGAGGACCGCCTGGAGACTCGAAATATTTTAGCTCGGGGCTATGCAAGACGAAATATCGTGCTTTCCAGCCGCCGAAGTTCTTTCCTCGTTTTGTTAGGTACCCCTCCTTCCTCGGTTTACCATCTGGTCCACGTAAGATTTCGGCACCAGCTTGGTGATTACCTCTCAGTAGACTCATCTCATCATCTCGGGGTTCAATGGCATCTGATGTAAGGAATTGACATATGACCAACGCCGCCTTGTCGTCCATCGGGGTATCAAGGAGAGTCTCAAAGTAGGCATTCAACGCGGCACGTCTACTGTCAACTTTGGCGGGAGAATGGCCGCTGAAAATGGACCTTTCAGGCAACTTTCCTCCAAAAGACGACAATTGTCGCATCTGTTGATCAAGTTGAGGAAGAGCAGCGATAACCTTTTCAGTGCGCCAAAGCTCCATGTTTTCGGATCTTGAGAATATGCCCAAAGTAAATACAGGTTCTTCCTCCGATGGCCTAGAAGCCATATAGCTATTTCTGGACGGCCGAAGTCGTGATGAGGAAACCTTGACATGTATTGAAGGGAGGGCATTTGGTGGCAGCAGGAGGTTTGGATATTCATCCGATACAAGACCTTGATATATCCCGTTATTCCTCACGACTGGTTCTTGTGGGCTGTCAATCTTAACTGCCGCATCGATTGATGGAATAGGCCGATTGTGAGCATCGACTGACATGGAAGAATATGCAGAACTGCTTGGTATTAAATTAGAAGGGGTCCCTGTAGAAAAAGGATTCTGATGCTGGCCAGTGCGCGGCGACAGTGCCAATCCGGAAAGGTTACTCTCAGACGACATGGGCAAAGACGATAGAGCACCAGGAATTTCTCTAGGTAAGCGCGGCAACGGAGAACCCAGCGGGCGGTCCTCGGGCCTTGGGCTGACTGGCAAACCGGGGCTCTTTGGAATACTGATGCTAGGAAGGTCGCCAAGTGGTCCATTATGTCTCGTACGGGGACTGGACGCGGATGATCCTGAATGGTCAATCGAAGGCTGTGCTTGTCGCGGGTTTGACAGCGATTCCACAGCCGCCAAACTATGTGAATTGCTTCCTTGGCTTCCAGGGTCCTGTAGGGTCTCTTTGTCTCTGTTGAGAGCTGCCTCGCGTTCTCGATCGTCATCATCTCTCGTCCTTCTCCTCCCGCGCTCCATTGGCAACTCATCCGCAGCCAATATATCCTCATACTCAGAGTCAGAGTCATATATATCAGGTTCTGTTGATGTATCTTTCTGGGAAAGATTCAAGGGAGCAGGCGGAGGTTTCCGGACCGGAGGGGGCACATCCTGCTGCTTGTTCTGCCCTGGCGCAGTGCTATCGACGGGAGATCTTGAACCACTCGAAGAGGTTGGACTCGCTGTCGACAATTCTCGCCGTGTATATACCAGTGATGGATTGTTTTGCGTTTCGGCTTGTCGATCACCATGAGTAGTGGAAGTGCTCACGGTACGCTCCTTGTCTGGGTGTAATGGCAACTGGCCTACACCAAGGCCTAGTAGCGAAGCCGAATCAGGCGAATCTTGTTTCTCGACAGCGGCGGACTGTATAAGAGTAAAGCCCTGACCCTGATTGTCGGAGTCTATACTGTCCGAATGCCCACCGCGATTGTGCGCCTGGCTTTTTCGGGCAGTTCCATGGCTGGTCAACGTGCCGCTGCTTTCGCTGTCTCGTGATCGCAATTTCGAGTCGATAGTGGATGGTAAAGGCGGCGGGGAACTCTGCAACTCTTTAACCTTTTTCCTGTAGCGTTCCTTCTCTTTCAAAGCACGTTCGAGATCTTTATTCAAGCCTAGAATAAGTGTACGCTGCTTATCAACCAATCGCCAGAGCTGCGAATTTTGAGAGGCCGCATGATGCTTTTCCTTCAGGAGGTGTATAATCACAGCCTCAGCTGACCCAGCAGTCGCTATCAAATTTCCGATATCGGCCTGACTTAGCGCATTGGCATCGAATGAAGACTTGTGTGTTTGAGAAGCGGAAGAAATCGACGAGATGGCCGAATCAATGGAGGAGGTCCGGGGCATCATACGCTGACCCGGACGATTTCCGGAGGGCGATTGAAGAGAATTGGCTGGCGAGGTAGGAGAAGACATCCTGGAACCTGTCTGATCTGGTATCTGCTGCGCCCGATTATCACTCATTTTATCATTCATATCATACTGCTTGAGACTATCCCAAGTGTCTCTCACGACCGCTTCCGATCCGCTGGATGTCTGTGAATGGGTATCCGAGGAAGGAGTCTGAATTGTCGCATATGTTGTATGATTTGTCGTATAGTTGCTCTTGAACACGGAAGGATTACTGAATGACTTCGGAGATAGCGGAGTCTGCGATGGACTGGCGCTGACTTGCCGGGGAGATGGGAAGTGTACGTTCGTTTGAAGAGGAGATGGCGTAGGTTTGCGGGGGGAAGCAATGGCAGCCCCAGAACGCAAAGCCTGTCCGTCAGAACGTGGGCCCAGATAGTCGCGAGGAATCAAATCGCTGGACAATGGCAATGGCGAGTGCACCGTGCTTTGGTGCTTGGTTGTAGGTAACGTGGGAAGGGGTGCAGGTAGCTGGTTGATGGTGGTATTGTCGCTACCTTGCCGCCGAGGCTGCGACATGGCTTGTTTAGGAGTCGGAGCTCACTCCACGCATGGGAGGGAGGCGCGGAACCAAACAACGATTGGACGCTAAACGCGGACGGTTCGACTGGGGGGTTTCAGCACCAGCGGGCCAGGGGGGGGCCAGAGCCAACGGTTCGACGGTTCTTAGATTGAGGGAACCACAAACATAGTACCTTCCGCATATGCGAGCCTTCGCCGTGAGGACAACACCGAGAACTGACGGCATCGGGTGATTCCCTGGGAGTGTCGGGCTGGTTAAGGGAAGATGTTGGAAGAAGTTCGGTGAGTACGGCGACTCATGATTTACTGGGACTAGTTGCAAGATCTAAGCCGAGTGGGGAAGGGGCCAGGGGAACAGGGGGAAAAAAAAGGAAGAAAAAAAAGGGGGAGGGGACAGCAGAGCATAAGCAGGAAGGATCCTCCCTTCTTTCAATGAGAATGCAATCTGAGCCGAGAATACTGGTGCAGGAAGAGCTTGTGGGTTTCTATGAGGGTGAGAGCGAGGCAGAAGATCGGTAGTATCTTACTGTGGTGAAGAGATGACAGCCACCCTTCAGTATCCATCCAGACTTGCAGACAGAGTAAACAGTCTTGCTGCATTTACAGATGCTTGGTTAAAACGGCTATGCTTTGCTAGGACAACTGATTGGTTCAAATTTCCCCAGTGACATACCCTTTAGAGATAGGCGCAGAAAAAGCATATGCCGCTAGTGGTCCTGCATGAAAAGGAAAGCCCACTTTGAGAGAAGGCCTCAAGGGCACCATACTTGGTGGATTTGCTTAGCTGCCCCGTCCATCATACCCCGCCGTTGAAAGCGAGAAGCCGAGAATAGCGTCAGAAATGGTGGACAAACCACGTCAGATGAGAAGAGAGGCATATAATGGGACATGAAAACGCCAGAACACCCTGTCTAATGCAGCCCCCCTGAGTCAAAAGTAAAACAAGATTCGAGGGTTGGGTAAAGATGAGATCGCTTTTCCCCTCTCCAACGCCAATAACCTGGTGGAATCAAATTACCCAGCTTAACTCCCAGACACCCGTATGGTACAACTATACAATGCTATGCTATATTTCCGGCCATGCCCATAAAAATGGCCTGGGCGGCTAGTTGGAGTGACCAGAAGCCAACTTTCTTGAAACGTCGCTTTCGAGCTTGCTCATCAACCACATCTCGCGCAAACGCATCGTATACCTGTCCAACATTAGCATGTATCATAGATCACCGGGGCACAGATTCGAGCTTACCGCCGCCGAAAGATCATCCATCAAGCCGCTATCCCAAGTGGTCCAACTGCCATCAAAATCTCCGAGGCGTTTGACGAGGCGACAATTCACTGGAATGAAAGTACGCCTTGAATTAATATAGGCAACAATGGGTCTAATAAGCGCATTGTTGATATATGAAAGATCACGTGTGAAAAGAGGAACAACGGCCCTGACATTGTTCAAGTGGAGGCGGAGATCGGTGACGAGGAACCGCCGGTCATCTTCGGCAGCAGTTTCTTCTGACGAATTTATGTTGGACGTGGTTGACTCAAGGTCCAGGTTAGACGAGACTGTCGCTTCTAGCCGGTCATAGAATCCGGCCATGACCTTCGCAAGGCTTCCATCATTCTCCGCGGGAAACATGATGTCGGAAACGATGTCGACCGTCCCTTCATGTATCCAAGAAAACGGGCCCTGGACTCCCCGATTTAGATGATCGATATTTAGACCATCAATACGAATCCTGCTATGCTTCTTCCAAGGACTCGGTTTACCATCTTCTTCACCTCCATTTTCCAGCTGTGCACCGGTAAAGCCATGAGTTTGTCGAGGGTGGATTGTGAACAATGAGTTATCGTATGACCCCGACATCATATTGGCGGACATAAAGTCATAGAATAGCCACTGTTTTCTCAATTGAGGCAAATCGCATGAAAAAATGCTGACAGGGAAGGGCCTGAAGTTGTCTGGCTGGTATACGGTAACCAAGACATCGCTCATCTTGAAAGAATCAATCTCGAAATCACCAGGATTGTGCTCGTGTCGGTAAGATTTGGGATCAAGATCGTCATCCGACCAGTGAACATATCTGCGGTCGACTACCCCGCGAATGCCCCGTACCTCAACGTCACGAAGAAGTCCTTTACCGTTGATCCACTTCGTGAATGACAAGGTAACATTGACCGTTTCAATCGACACATCGAATTGTGTGTAGTTGGTGTCCTCTTCATCTGACACGGGCCGCTGCTCGGGCAGTTCAGGGTTGGTTTGCTCCCCGAGGGCGGCGGCGGCGACAGCAGCAGCGGTTTTCGAAGAGCCCTTGCTTACATGCCCCGTTCCTTGCCCTGGTCGCCTGGAAACAAACACGTTCTTGAAAGTTATCACGCCATCTTTCCATTTCGGAACAATTGCAGACTCGAAGACAACCTTGACACCGGAAGACTTAGTGAGATAATTGCCGATCCAACCAGCCAATGTTTCTATAGAGATTAGCATCGGATTAATGTCGATGAGAACCACTTCGGGCCTACCTTGGGCGAACACAGTATTAATCGCAATGATAAGCAATGAGAAGAAAGTGGTAGTACCCAAGACTACCCAAACCACATGTCCCAAAAGCACCCATGAGAAGAGAGCGGTTATTTCATCCAGATTGAAAGGCCTGACACTTCGTATAGAGAACCACTTGAACCGGACCTTAAGTCGTGACCAGAACCCATTAGCTGCAGCCAACAATTCTTCTTTCGTAGGCCGGTGCAAGTGCGGTATATGTGGCAATCGGTCCCTGAGATGGCGGTTTAATTGCCCTTTTTGATTAAGCTCAGGTAGCTGCGGCTCGGAGACCTGACTTTTATCGTTGATGGATGTCTCAGAACCTTTACTGAGCCTGTCAGGATGATGGCGGTCGTCATTATGATTTTTAGAATCCTTCCGTAACTCGGTCGTCCTCCGATCGTCTGGGCTCGTATGAAGACTGCGCCTAATCATAAGCCAGGAGACAATACCCAAGCCCTTTCTTCCCGGTGTAGAGATCCTATGCGGCATCAAACCCTTTGGAGTGATGGCGTATGTTGCCCTGGCTGAAGTGTGATCGGAGGCGCCATGTACAAAGCCCGCGGTAGCAAATCCTCTGATAGGTCGAGTCGGTTTTCGTGAAAGTGAGCTATATCCTTTCGCAATATGTAAATTGCAAAAGCCAGCTCCGAGGTCTTCTGTATTTGTTTTATATGATAGGCACGACACGCGCCTTTCTCGCAATCCATTTCCAAATATTGATTCCGTTGTTCCCCATAAGTTGGTGTACAACCTGCGCCCGAGATAGCCAGACATGATTGCCGTCACATGCTGGACAATCTGGGAAGGCAGGTAAGCAGTAGAGAACCCTCTCTGGTATTGATCAGAAAGCTGCAAAACAAGCCAGGTTATTAGATGTATAGCTGGGATGACAGATGCATGCGTCTCAAATCACCGGGCAGAAGCACGGTGCTATCTAACCAGGCGGACCGCGAATAAATTTCCATGAAATCATCCCGCCTCAACAGGAGCGGGTCCTGTTTGTAATGTTTGCATCGAAAATTCACAAATTCACACTATAACCACACATCTTTTCCATAGACCGTAAAATCTGTGATAACGGACTCCGACTCTGATTTACAGCCTAAACCGTCGAGTATTCAGATACCACTCACAGAAAAATGCCTGCACCCACAGCTTTACGGCAAAATGCCGAACTAGAAATGACAGAGACGCTTGTTGCGCCTACTATGTCAGGTCAGTCCCCGCCAACGCTTTACGGGAACCCGACCGGGTGGCCATTCTAACGTCTTCCAGAGCAAGACGAGGAGATCTTGATCGACGCCCAAACTTCGGCAGATCAGGTTTCTTCAGGACTCGCGCCTGAGATTGAGCCCACTCAAGACAGCGATATGCGTATCGACGAAGAGGGACGGCCCCTCTTCACGCCAGCCAAAGACACTAGCAGGGTATATCGAGTTGAAAGCAGGAAGGTTCCTGTACCACCGCATAGGATGACTCCTTTGAAGGCTAGCTGGGCACGCATCTATCCCCCGCTTGTCGAACACCTTAAACTTCAAGTGCGCATGAACATCAAGAATCGAGCTGTGGAACTACGTACGTCACGATTCACGACCGATACGGAAGCCCTGCAGAAGGGCGAGGATTTCGTCAAAGCTTTTACTCTTGGATTCGATGTCGATGACGCTATCGCACTTCTCAGGTTGGATGATCTTTACATACGTTCATTTGAGATTCGGGATATTAAAGCCCTCAACGGAGAGCACCTTAGTCGTGCAATTGGACGTTGTGCTGGTAAAGATGGGCGAACAAAATTTGCGATAGAGAACGCTACTCGGACAAGAATCGTCATTGCAGACCAGAAGATTCACCTGCTAGGCGCAGTGAAGAATGTCGACTGTGCCCAACAGGCCATTGTTAGCTTGATTCTTGGCAGTCCACCGGTCAGTAACCTTGTGACGATCCTGTCAATTGTCGTCTCAGATGATGCAACGGCTGCTAACTCCTCAACAGGGCAAAGTGTATGGGAACCTTCGTAAGGTGGCTTCTCGCATGAAGGAGCGTTTTTAGGGGGGAAAATACCAACCGTCAGCATCATGGGAACTACGGTCTCTGCCTCTACCAGAGTTTTGTTTCTTTTTCTCTTTCTTTTTATGACATGGTATCGGCGTTAGGGGTTGTGGCATATGATCTGGATAGAGTATAATGGATATGACGACACAGAAACGAGGGAAGGAATACTCCACTGGATATTTTATCTATTCATATTCAGAAAATCATCGCAAGAGTATAACACTAAACTAGGCTGGTGAAGCATTGATTAAATTGGGCCCCGGTATGCCTAATCCTTCTTCAACGGATAATAAATCTCCTCCACTCCACTCCTGGTAATAACCATCATCTGCAAGCCATCTCCGACCTCAATATGTCTTTCGACGGCGCTAGTGAATGCATCTCGCACCAGCTGCTCAACAGTATCTCTTGGTAGTGGCTCCGCTTTCTTGGGCTCAAGGGCATGCCCTTCCCCGCTACCCGGAATATATTGGTTTTTAAAGTTGACCTGGTTGTCCAAGAACGGCATGATCAGACTTGCTGCAGACCCTGCAGCCCTGCATTGCTCTCTCTCGTACGAGCCAACCGGATCGTAGCTGTACAAGGCACCCTTACCATCCTCGTCCAAGCCCGCTAAAATAGCATGCACATAGTAGGGAAAGAACCGTTTCTGGTAAAGAATTGTTGACAAGCGTTGGGCACAGGCTCTCACGGACATGGGCTTTCCGTGCTGGTATTTGTACATCTTCACCACTGCATCTAGTCGCTCTTTGAGGGCCTGACCATCTGCCGCGAAGCCCACGACTGACAAGACGATGTTGGCACCTTCGCCAGACTCGTCATCACCGCCAATTTTGAACACCTTAGGAACATAACGAGAGTTGATGTTGTATCCTGCAACGGATCGAGTATCTCCAGCCAGGATCGCGAAATCGGAGCCCGTAATGCCTAAGGTAGAGCCGCCGTTATCCGTATAACTGCCGTTGTACATTAGCTTGATCCCTATGATACAGTGAAGACAGTGATGCATACGGATAGAAAGAGTGCTCTCTGTGGGGAGCACTGTTCGCATTGGAGAAGGAGTATCCGATGGCCTCGCTAAGAGGGTTGCCGGCAAGAGTCGTCATTCTTCGTAGAGTTCGAATGTGTAGATAGTATCAATTAGTAGGAAGCGATGAAGATTTTGTAATACTCTGGTCGTCTAATGGCTGTGGATGTAGCGGAGGGCGTTCGTTATGTAGGTAGTTGTAGAAGTGAATGGTAGTAGGACCTCTAGCTGAGCTGTTGCTGAGCATCTGACGCGGTGTTGTAGCTGCCTTCTGCTTATATAATCACGCACAGCTTCCGTCATGAGCTGGGAGCAATTGTTACCGCGGAGTCAACTGCCGTCTCCAGGTTATCTAAAGAATTAGCGTTGTCTTATTCGAGTCTAATGTCCAACTCCTACGTCGCCTCATAATTCACTTTCTCACACGAACGCTTTATCTTTGAAGCTCAATTGGCTTATCTGAAACCCGGAACGCACCGGGAACTGACGCCCAGTTATAATGCTTGGCTTAGGAGCGTATGAAAGCAGCAGTGACGAAGAGGTGGAAAACAATTTGCCCTCAGTACAATCGAAGGTAATTGGAGCATTATGCTGTGATATCGGCCTTTACTAATATGAACCCGGCAGAAGATCGCAAGCCAGCAAGCACAGCCACAAGAAGTGACAAAAGCTACAGGTGATTGGAGATATAATCTACTTGTCTCTGAATCTAGTGGGACTTATTTAACATGTTACCAAAGCAGAAATCGCCAATGTAGCCACACCATCAAAAGAGATACCTGTTCCAAACACAGACAGGCCTGTTCTTGGGCCGACGCATGAAGGCTCACAAAATCCGCAAGAGCAACCGGCCGAACATTCACAAGTCTTCTCAGCGGACCGAACATTGATCCATGACCTAACACTTCCTCCGATACCAAACTTAGACATCCCACCATCTCCCCCGGGCTCTCCTAACCCTGCAGCAAATGCCAAATTCGCACACTTCTTGACCCTAAAGAAACAGGGCATGCATTTCAACGAAAAGCTCGCCGGGTCTACATCCCTCAAAAACCCCAGTTTATTGAAGAAGATGATGGACCATGCCGGCATTGATGAACAAGCACAATATCACACATCTCTACCACCCGAAATATGGAATATCAGCGATCTGCCAAGTTGGGGGTATAAAGAGGAGCTTTTAAAAGCGCAGAGGGAAATTCAAAATAGGGCCGAAGAAAAGAAGTCCGCAGGACAGAGGGATGCTATCAACTTTGTGGCTGCCACGCCTAGCGAGTTCTCCCGTGCAGGCCCTATTCCTGGTTCAAGGCCAAAACAAAGGTAATATACGATGGATAGTTCAGAGTGCAAGTGTCACTGTCAATGATGGCAGGGACAGTATGACCAGGCGTACAATGCTTGGGAAGCAAAGAAAGGCCCTTTGATCCCAAAGCCTATGATAGGAGGCCACTTTGTGAAAGGAAAGTTATCTGCTGATGATAGACTTTCTCTCACGAAATGACTTTATAACGTCTATTTCTAGGGTCAAATAACCGAAAACGTAGCAATAGTGAGATACCCGTTATCGTGCAGGGACGACTCTTTCTTACTGTAGTAGTAGGAGGGACTCTGTCATCTTTAAAGGGGCCAACCTCCAAAAATCCCTTCCCTCCGCCCCTCAAAAAGGCACCTCATCCAATTAGTTGGAATTTGAAAATAAGTAAGACGCAATTAAAATATCTATGATCATTTCACGCTTCTCTTGTAGGGACTATTGTTAGGCTATACTTGGCAGTATCTAATTTTCGCTAAGCGCGTGTGTTGGCCTCCGATAGGCGCGGCGGGAGGTGATAGCATTGCTCACGTAACATGAGCTCCGTCAGCTCTACTGCCTACCGACCCGACCCCAGAACAGCGTCGATATCATCACAAGCTACTATTTCCTTCTCAAGCATCAGTTTGAACTTCCACATCAAACCACATTTTCCGGTATACTCAGTGAAAATACACACAATCACCCATCCTAATATCGTGCCAATCGCCCATCATGAATCACTTTCCCGAAGCTTGGGGTCGCGTAAGAGCATCATCGCATTAAATTAGTGATGTCGCTAACGAAGTGCTGAAAGCCTAGGGATGACGTTTACGGACCCTACAACGCCTCATACCTCCAGACAACTGGCCCGAAAACCCACACTCAGTCACCTGCTGTGACTGGTACGTCGGTAGTGGCAGTCAAGTTCAACGGCGGAGTTGCCATTGCTGCCGATAACTTAGGTATAGCTGAGAATCATAATGGAGACTAAAGTCACACTTTCGCTGACGGCCAATCTTTCTTACAGCATCATACGGATCCCTTGCCCGCTTCACCGATGTGAAACGACTTCGCAAGTTCGGCGATTCTGCCATCATTGGATTCAGTGGTGACGTTTCGGATATGCAGTATATTGACCGACTACTGGAGTCCATCGACATCAGAGAGAATTACTCTACCCACGGAAACACGTTGAACGCCAAGAATCTTCATACTTATTTGTCGAAAGTCTTCTACAAGCGCCGTTCTGAGTTCAACCCCCTCTGGAACCACGTCTTGGTGGCCGGGTTCGATGGAGACAAGAAGCCATTCCTCAGCTCAGCGGATCTGCTGGGGACCACCTTCTCGGCTCCGCATCTCGCGACCGGCTTTGGTGCCCATCTTGCCGTCCCGATCCTTCGCCGGCTGTTCCCAGAGGAAAGGCCTATTGAGTCAATCACCAAGGATGAGGCCGTGGCGGCGCTAAGAGAATGTATCAAGGTTCTCTGGTACCGTGATGCGCGGAGTCTGGACAAGTACTCCTTAGCTGTTATTACTGAGGAGGGAGTTGAGATCCAGGAGGACCAGCAAGTTGAAGCCCAGAGCTGGGCATTCGCCGAAACCATCAAGGGATATGGGGCTCAGGTTAACTAGGATATGGCTTTGATTACATGCTTGTGCCACTTGAGTAATAGAACGAATCCAACAAAGTACGTATGGTGAAGTCACTGCGAACGTGTCTTGGTTGTAGGGCGCTATTTATATGAAGATGCACAAGATAGTAGTCCTTATGGTTGGTGGTCGGGATGCCACACTGTTAAAAGGACCCCTGACGGTCCTTGTTACACCCAATGTGCCCCGCGCCACCTGTTCCTTTGATTATTGATTCAGAGCTTAGAAGAGGGCTTGTCGAAGACAATGCGATTCAGGCATGATCCGACACCCTCAAGAGAAACCTCAACCAAATCACCATCCTTGAGCCAGAGCGCCGGCTTTCGACCCATACCAACACCTTGGGGTCTGGAGCAGTTAGCCTTGTGCATGGTAAGTGCGAAATGAGCAAATGAGCGCTAACTTACGTTCCTGTAAAGATTACATCCCCGGGCAACAAGGTGGTACCCTGAGATAAGAACGACACTGTCTTGGCCACATTGAAGATCATATCCTTGGTGGATGATGATTGAACCGTCTGACCATTCAGTTTTGTCGAAATCTGCAAGTTGTTGGGATCACGGATTAGCTTCGAAGATACAATACCTGGTCCAAAGGGCGCCCATCCGTCGAAGCCCTTGCCCAGCCCCCATTGCCCTCCACCATGCTTCAGCTGCCATTCACGATGAGAGACATCGTTTCCAACGGCATAACCCAAAACATAGTCCAGGGCCTGACTCTCGGGCACATTCTTAGCTTCCTTGCCGATAACGACAACCAATTCACACTCATAGTCCAAACCCTCACCCTGTTGGGCCATGCGGGATACTGGGACATCATCTGTAGGCCCCGTAACAGAGGTGACGGGCTTGTAGAAGAGAACTGGAAATTTGGGCAAGGGTAGGTTTGATTCTATGGCGTGTTGTTCATAGTTGAGTCCCAGACAACGCACGGTCCCAATGTCCTTTCTTGCCAACGGCGCCAGGAGCATTTTGATATCAGCAGTTTGGTCTGTGACTTGGTGCTGTCCGAAAATATCGCCCCGGATAACCCGTGCTCTCGTGGCTTGGGCAATGTCGCTCACGCCTGCTGACAATAGGGCGTCTCCATAGTAAGTCTGGCCGTCCTTGGCTAAGAAACGAACCAGACGCTGTGCCATGAGACACAATATCAGTTCTTGAAAGAAGGAGTGGGCCAATGGAAAGGACGTGGACTCACAGAGAAGGTGGCCATATCGATCAAAGGTGCTAATAGTGATGATACCCCGTGTATGTAGTAGTAGTAGGTCAAAGTATATCAAGAGTAAATGAAGTTTAATAGTATGAAAAGCAGCTGGAGTCTAACTATGAGGTGATATAAATCTGTATTTCAAGGCCAAAAGTGGCTTTGGTCTGACGAAGCTCCCACCAGCACTTCTTGTCCCGATAGCTGACTAGTTACTAATGTTAGTACGGGAAGTAGTTAGATAACGAGAGGGGGTTTCTCCAGCTCCTCGGCTCCAGGATTCTCGGCCGGAAGGGGAAAGCAGGTCGGCTACTACGTATGGGGTAAGCGGATCGGCAGCCTCCGGGGAAAAAGCCGAACAAGCTACCAGTAAGCATGCTCTGCATTTCCGAACTTCTGAACTCTTCAGTCTGGTAATGCAGTTATACCACTACTAGCACTCGCATCTCCTCAAGCCTGCAACGACTATATAGACCCAATGGCTCGGCTGTCAGGCCTCCAAAGACAGGTGCTGTCTCTGTATCGGACATGCTTGAGAGAAGCCGGGAAGAAACCCATTGTGAGCAAACACCTCGTCGCGCTGTCAAAGTTTTGTTTCACTGGCTAGCCAGCGAACTTGGGCTGATTTGTTCTGCTAATTCATACCCGGTAACTAGGAGACGAGAGAGAATTTCAGGGCATATGCTAGGTGCGTTCCTTGGGCGAAATTCTCAATCGAAGAAAACTGGTCTCCTGGCATGCTCGCTCTACAGTGCGCTAATCTCGAAACAGGGCCGAATTTCGAAAGAACTCCTCTGTTAGCAAGAAGGATTTCGGTGCGATAGAGTATCTACTACGGAAGGGGCAGAGGCAGCTTGAGATGTACTCATCCCCCGGAATCCGCAATATCCGGTGATTTCAATATCCTGTCCTCGGGGCAGTCCCGGAAATTCAAAGAACAGCCCTCCTCATTTGGATGTAGGTGAACGGCCCAGTAAACGAAATACAGCATGGCTTTTTGCTCCCTATGATGCAACTTTTTTGAGGCTCACTATGTAGGGATGAACTCTTATGTCACGTGATCGCGGAAGATTCGCGCGGGTTCTCGTACATACCGCAAGTCGCTTATCTTATCGGGTCGGTGACGGAAGGCTCCAGATGCATCTGGTGTCATCTCGCTCCATCGCTGTCGCTCCTAGCATCTGCCAGAACACTCGGCTCGCTTCTGTATGACAGAGAACGTTGGATGATGGCGTTTTCTAGAAATCCTTTGGCCAGGAATATAAGGATGGGTTTTAACCAGCCTAACATGTTTATCTGTACTCAGAATCAATCCATTCTCATCACAAGATAAATCAGAGACATTCATATCCTCTTTATCAACGATCCAAAACCGCAGCTATCTCCTTCCGAAATCATTAGCTTTCATCAAACACCCTTGACATTCTCAAATAAATCACAAACAATGGCTTACTTCCCTCGATTTGCCGGTGACTTCGCACCCTTGTTCCAACTTCTGGACGATTATGATGTCCACCGGTCTAGCCGCCCCAAGAACAGGAAGGCCACACCCGTCCGCTCATTCACTCCGAAATTTGATGTCTATGAGGTGAACGATGTATACCACTTGGAAGGCGAACTTCCTGGGGCCGAGCCGAGCAACATTGAAATCGAATTCTCTGATCCACACACCCTGGTCATCAAAGGTCGCGTGGAGAAGAACGAAGTGGCCAACCCCCAGACAGCGGGTCAAACATCGCCGACAAAGTCACACCAACCGACAGTTGAGGATGACGATGAAGACGAAGACAACAAGTCAACTAAGTCCTCGGATAGCCACCCCACGCAGCTGGTCTCACAGAAACAAACCGAGCCAACCTGCAAGTACTGGGTTTCCGAACGCCAGACTGGCGAATTCTACCGCACATTCACCTTCCCGACGAGAGTGCATCAAGATGCAGTCAAGGCCAATCTGACAAATGGAATCTTGTCGCTACAGATTCCAAAGGAGCCTGCCCCTCAGGTCAAGAAGATCCGCCTCGAGTAAAGCGATCGATGAATATCATCTCGGATTTTTCTTAGCATCGGTTTCCACTCTGCGACAATTTTTTCTTCTTGACTTACCTACCATGGCCAAACGATCTTCTGCCAGTTCACGCAATGATATGAATGTTTCTGCACCTGCATTATGATGGGGTTCTGTGGGCCAGGAGTACATTGGAATGATTGTTCAATCTCTGCATGTATTTTACTAAGTCGTCATGCGATGACAAATAATGAATATCTAATTTTCTTACATATGCTCCTCGTAGATTACGAGTATGAACGAAAGGTACCGACTGACAGCATCACCCATGACAGAGAGTTCATAGACATGTCCGATTCATCATGGTCTCTACTTACTGTAGATACTACTACCTAAGTATGTCAGTACGGTCACTAATTGAGTTTGCAAGCGCTACCATCCTAGTTACTAGACACCTCGCACAATAATCCAGCGAAAGCACATCATCCATGCACGAGGCATACATACATATGTACCGGAAGCATATCAGATATCAGATCCATAGGTCAAAAATGGCATACCAGCAAATCCCACGAACTACTAGTCTTTCCGTAACTTTAAATTGTGACTAAGGTTCTCGAGCAATCCCCTCGACAATACACCGTAATCATGCAAAACTGCAGTCACAAAAAAAAGAAAAAAATTATATTACAAGTAATGTGAGATAAAGCCGAAGAAAAGAAGGTTTTAACCCTTGCGTTGAGCGTACTCCCAAGCACATGTGGTTGCTTCAAGTATTTTGCTTCAATATTATGCATGCAAGATGCAAGCTCCCCACCTGTGGATATGGATTGAGAATCATTGCCGACTGTGGGTGGGGGTCTGCGGCTCCACGATTTACACAGTAGTTACTAGTTACTCCATACTAGATAGATAGTTAATTTGGGGGGAAACTTTGTGTGTACGATTAGCTAATATGTACTACACGTAATTAACTAGTTAGCTGCTGGAATACTCGAAACTAAGTTCTCAGATAACTAACTAGTGGGCATGTTTGTTAGTCAAGGTCTGGATACATCTATCAGATGTGTAACATCTTCTTTGGAACTGCTTGCTTACAAGTAAGATAATTACTTACCTACTCCCTGTATGCAGCTTTCGATCGGGTTGGGTTCGACGTCTGCCAGGTGGTCTCTCGGTCGTTTGGGCGTCTGCCGCCTTGGATTGCGCGCTTGATTGTAAGCATGCCCGATCCTTCGGATCAGCCTAGCTAACTGGGTATGAATGCACGGACACCGCCAGATCTTACTTGACTCAGTCCCCATCAATTCGATGATGATGGAGAAGGGGTCTCACCGCTACATCTGGTGTTTCGGACTGTTGGGCTAGATGGCAGCTTATCGCGGCTATGTAATACTACTTGGCGCTGATGAATTGTTCACACGATACAGGAAGCCCGCAAAGCGGGGATAGATTGATGATGAGTATACCTCGCTTTTCTCCTTGTCCACTCCAAGATATGTACAAGCGGAGGGAAGGATCCAATATAGTCAATATATCAAATGTCAAAAAGTAAACACGAACAAAAAAAGAAAAAAAAAAAAGAAAACTCCTAGACTTTCCCGCGCCAGTCGAACTCTGATATAGTACTATATAAATGGAGCACAAACAATCATCCAGGTTACCAAATGGGTATTTGTAAAGCAGTGGAAACGAATGAATCAAAGAACCAAGACCAAGTTAGCGCCGTAGAGGAGATATCCGCCCGTTACACTTCAGAGTGGATATCCCGGCACCGAAGCACAAGACTAATCGAAAAAGAAAGATTTTGGAAGAGAATGGTGGCATATCATGCAGGTGGAAGGATGATGCCAAATAGTGACGCACAAGTGAATGAGAAAGCTGGAAAAAGCCACTGCATCAACGAAAAATAGTTGGTGAAGCGGCCTTGTAAAGATCTGGATGTTTAGCATGCCTCGTCAGCCTCTTCCGCTGACTTTCAATACTTCGGCTCCTAGTTCTTCCTCTGAACTGTCCAGATACCGGTCTCCCTGTATCCAAGCCTTTCGCGCTCTCTGGGACTGGCACGTGAAGTGCATCGATATGTGGCATTGGTAGCCACGCAGTGCTCATCGTGCTGCTGCTACCCTGCACGTCATGCTCCGTCACTGTGGTCATGGGTTGTTTCCAGCTTTTCTCCGATGAAGCTAGGAATGCTCCGACATGCTCCCATTGGGGGTATTGATGAGGTATAGCATCTGCAGAGACAACTGACAGGCCAGGGGAGGTATTATCGAGGCTCCTCAATTGGTGGCAATATTGAGAGTAGGGCATTGTATGCCGATATTCCGGAGGAGTCGCGAATGAACTGCTCCTTAGGCGCGGTTTGGGGGGCATCGGTCGGAGGTCATGACACATAGACCATCTGTGGGACGGCCAGCCATAGCTGTCGACTCTGGGCCTTGCCCATGGACTCTGAAGGCTTGATTGACGGTGTACCGAGGGCTCGTAGCCAAGTTCTGGGCTGTTCCTGGCATCCAAAAGCCCGTGGTCCTTGGAATTACCGTTGAATGTGAATCTGCGGGTCACTCCAGGTTGGTGTGTGGATGTGCGAGAATCAGTCGATCGTCTAGTGGAACGAACGGAGGCTGCGGAGCTGTATCCGCTGTCAACCGTTCCATGAGCATGTTGAAGTTCTCGATGCCCGTGGTCTCGGAAGGAACGTTCAAGTTGGCGGACAAACCATTTCTCTTCATCAGCGACAGAGATACCTTCATCTTCTGTTTCACAACCACGAAGTCTGTACGGTGTTGATGTTGCTGGAGATCTCTCGAAAGAAAATGGACTTGCAGGGTGATCGTCAGGATTTCCCACTTCAGTAGGTGGAATCTGTAACTTTGGAGCACGGGCAGTATCGTTACATGGGACCGGAGCAAAGTCTTGGATGTTTGAGATATCAAAGCTGGTTAGATCAACCTTTTCAAGTGCGCTGTCCCGGACGATCTCAGCTTTCCGGGATTGCTCAATTGCACTCTCAGAGGCATAGTCCTGGATGTTCGATAGATCGAAGCTGGTTAGATCAACTTCATGTCCGCTGTCTTGTACAATCTCAGCATTGTGGGATTGCTCGTCTACAATTTCAGAAGCTAACGGTGGTTTCTGATCCATATGGTATGGTACCTTGTGGGTATTGTGCTGGGGCTGTCCCGGCTTCGTATCATGCGTGTGGATGCTAGTAGGTTCAGGATTCGGGCTGTTGGGACGGTTCAATCGAGTCCTGTCGCTGGGGCATGGAGATGCAGAACCATTTACCACGCGCAACGATCCTAATTTGAGAGCCCCTAAATGAGTATATTCGAACTCATTGGGTGTTGCTGGACGGAACCGGGTAACCGGACTAGGTGATCCAGCAGCATCTTCGTAACCGGATGGTAACGGCCTTGGAAATGCAGATGTTTCGTTCAAATAATTGAGTGACATCGTGGGTTCCTGTACAACTGGTGATGACAATCGTCGGGCTGTATCTCTTGGTGGCCTTCTTGTTGCGATGCCGGGCCGTGTTAGCAGCGATCGTCGACGGATGAGAGAAAATCCTTGGCTGTCGACCCTGAATAGTGTATTGGAAGACGTTGCCTCCTCGATTGTACTATGATGCATAGTACTTTGCGCTCTCTGAGGTGGAGTATGCGCAGAATACGCCCGTCTTGGTCGCGGTGGCCGTGCCATCAATGGTTGTGGTCGACTTGGGAGAGTTGTTGCCTGGAAGCTATTGTGTCTGGAAGAACGGCGAGAGACTTGACCGGCCATAACAGAGTCTGGCATAGGGACGGTAGGAACGGGCGAGTACAGACTGAAATCATCTGGCTCTTTGACCATAGACTGGCATTTTCGGGCCCTGCTGAGAGTGGGCCATGGCTCCCCAGGTCGATAGGAGGCAGATGGAAGAGACTGCGACCTCCTTGTGCATACATCAGGCTCAGGGGCCTTGAGAGAGATGGAAGTTCCGGTCCAAGGGTCTTGCCAAGCAGTACAAGCAGGGCATTCTGTAGGAGAGCTGGTGCCGGAAGTATGACGAGATGTTTGACGAGATGCGCGGAAGCTGTTTGAAGCTAGCGTTGCCCTATTCGGAGGCGGTTTTGACAGCCGATTGGTGCGGCGACGCTTTTCTTTGCTCTGTACTGAAAGGTAGCCTCCCATGGCTTCCTTTCTTGAGTGGAAACCGGAGTGAAGGTTTCAGAAGAACCTGATCCTCTCACCTAAAGGTGCGAGGCCGACATGGGCAGGCCGCAACGTCAGACAATTCAACAAATGGCGTCCAGTGGCTGATAAACAAGTTCACTTCAGGGTTTAATCCGGTAATGCCATAACAGTGGTCAATCCTGCAGAAAAAACTTGGGTACCAACGAGGCTGGAAGCACCAGGCTCCTGCCTATGAGGTAGATAGGCCGAGGGAAGGTTTCAAAAACTTTCGACGATGTCAACCCCGGGTTGAATTGAAAGACTTTAGCAGAACACGCAGAGGAAACAAGAGGAAGATTTTGGACGGGACTGGTTCGAGCTTTCGCCCGAAGCGCTGACTTGCGACGCTCAAGCTGGTAAAGAACCAGAGCGTATTTAGATGATGGGGCAAAAAAGCAAAGACGGCCGACTATATAGGTAGCGAGAGGGAAGCGCTACCCAAAACGAAGAGACAGGACAATGAACTGTTGTAATAAAAAGGAAATACAGCACGGGCGGAATCAGCCACGTCCAACTAGTGGGTTTCCTCCCTCCTGATTTGTTTTATACGGTAGATAGGCAGACAGAATTGAGATGTCAGGAGAAGAGGTACTGAAAGAGTAGTGGTGGAGGGTGGAAGACGACAAAACCAGGAGTGGTGGAGGATGTATTATGCAATAGTAGAACAAAGGAGGTACAAGAAGGGGAAGAAAAAGAATATTATCAGATTACCCCAATCCCTGGTCGGCCAGATAAAGATGGGAACAAAAAGGAATAAAATAATAAAATGATAAGAGAAAAAAAAAATAGAATAAAAGAGACCAAAACCAAATCCAGAATGAAAATCAAAAACACGGGGTTGAATGGGATGAAGCGGATGGAAAAGAAAGATCGATTAAGAATCGTAGCTGGGGTAAGTAAGGGAAATCAGATACATAAGTGGAGTGGAGATGGACTGGGCTGCCATGGTTGAGGATGCACGAAAGACACCAGAGTGACGAATGCGTTTATCCACAGGCAACTGTAGCTCTCACGGACAACGGAATGGGGAACGCGATAATGGATCGGCAGGTTGCAGACGGTCGGAAAAGGGAACCAGCTTCTGACAAGATCATTGTGTAAGAGCGAGAGACCGTGTGTGTGGATGTGGATGTGGATGTAGATGTGGATAAGGGTGTCAGAGTAAATGGAGCTAAGAAGGAGCAAACACACCCGGACATTATTCACCAGCCAGCCAAGGTACCTTCAAAATTTTTTTTACCCTCTTCGACAATAGGAATTGGAGAAGGATGTGGATGGAGCCATGGGAATGGACGGTCAAGTCAGCCTTGGACTGGCGTGGCCATTTCAGAACTCAGACTTTCGGACACAACGCCATCCCTGAAAGCGGACAAGTCAAAGCAAGAATTGCACCGGCGATGCCCGCTAGAAGCACCCAAGAAAAAAAAAAAATAAATTAATAACGATTAAAATAATGACCATACCTAACACTAAAAAAGAAGGCAAAAGAGGGAAACGAATGAGTGCATGAAGAGGGAGGGGTATCGAGGGTATCATTCTATTCCGTAGTAACTAAACTCAGTAATTTTGTTTACTACTGTAGATTGTTAACTCAGTTGTCTACTTTCGTTAAGCTATTGTTCCTTTCCGTACATCTTTTCCTCATGATTATCATTCACGAATTATGATCACACCATGCATCGTCGGATGTTTGTCTGATGTGTCTGCAGTTATCTAGTTAATAATTAGCTATTTAGCAGCTAGTCTAGCTGTTCTACTATCTACTTACTTAGTATCTCATCGCTATCCCTTAGGGGGACTGGCAGAAGCTCTCCCTACCAGTTATGGATTAAACAATTTTTCTTAGTTCGACCCTCATTGGGATCGCATTTGGATCGCCAGGACCATCGTCTGTTTTAGCTCCAGCCGTGGATCCCTCCAGGGGTGGAAAGCTTGATGACGATGGAGCCTTGATTGGTGCTGGGCTGGCCGCAAGCAGAACTTGGCCACTAGTTGTTCCTTCCGGACCTTGGTCAGTGAAAGTAGTCAGGATGTTACGGAGGAGAATGCTGTTCCCGCCTCTCCGAGTTATGGAACCTTGGTTCTTGACCACCACCTCCTCCACCACCTACGGGATAGAAGAAGCTGAAAGAATTGATCGCATCCCGTCTTTGGTTAAAATCTATGTATTCTATTCCGTACGTCCCGATGCTATCCTGGAGTACTCCGTGCTCTCCATTCAATCGCACAAGTAACCTACTCCGGACATGTGTACTTTTTTGACTTTGGACTACTTGAACATTTTACTATACTACTATACTGCTACCATTAGCCACCGCCGCCACTACCACCCATAGTCTCCTATTGAACAACTGGATCGTAAGTTAGTCTGCACGCAGTACTCGGTACTACTGCTGTTGTTAACTGACTAGTAAGTTAATTAACTAGTTAAGTTAGTTGTTCGGCTCTAGTTTAGTCATGCCGGTATTTTAGCGTCGTTTAGATTGTTCTGCCTAGTTTCCACCGCTTCCCCGCCCCGCCCTCCATCTGTCAATCCGTCTTCATTCAGTCTCATGAAGTAGGAGTACGTATACTACAGTAGTAGTAAAGGGAGATGGCTGGGGGAAAGAAGTAAGAGTAGTATCATGATTATGCGGTTCTAGTAGGACCTGTCTGTCAGCATCGACAGCACCGACATCAGCTCCAACCCCCCCGCACTGTCCATCTCCCGGATTGATCTCTCTTCTTTACATTCAATTTTACCCTTTTCATTATCGGTGTATCATTGATGGGTCAAAGATCCAGTGATAGAAACCCCTTCGAGTCAGGTCATCTCCGATTGAGTCCTTCTTGGTTCCATGGTTCCATCTTTTACTGCTTTGGAAACCTTTCCCGTTCCGGCGCTCGGCTCGCTCCCTCCTGGTCGGTTTATCCGAAAGCTCCAGCTAGACACTACTTACTCGTTAGATGTCCCGCCGGCAGCTGCGACGTAAAAAATCAGAAAAGAAAGAAACAGAAGGAAAAAATTACTGCAAGCAACAGGAGAGGGTCTCCAACCCGAGAACGGACTGGTTAGTCAACCCACATCCCTCACGAACTGGATCGCTGTCCTCTGGGGCGTACAGAACCAGTGTTTCTGCAACGCAGACGCTTCTGCAGCGCTTGTCTGTCGGTCAGTGGTCGGATTACACCGCGTCTTTACCAGTCGTATGGCGTCTTCTCTTGCCAGTCGACCGACCTTATCGGGTTTCCCTTTGCTCACTGCCGAGGAATTCAAAACTGCCTGTCACGCCTTTCTAGATCGGATTCACGTGGTGGATGATACCAAGGTGGGATGGTCCTCCATCCGTCTCGATCAGCGGGTAAGTTAGTTGCCTCGCCTCATGTCGTTCGACTTTGTTCCACCCTCCTTCTCTTGTTGCCTGTCGCTTGCGGAAGATTCATTGAAATCTGCGCGACAGGGATTCGAACATTGGTTAGGAAGATGGACCTGAACTATACACTTCAATCCTTTCCCCCCCCCTTTCTTTCTTTTCTTCGCTTTTCTTCACCCCTCCCCCCTACTACACCCCACTCTCAGCTAAATCCATTAGGCAACCGGGCCCATCTTGAGTATTGCAAGGGATATCGGTCATGTGGGTACTCGTGATCGCGACGAGCCCCTCCCGGACCCAGAGATGATCGAAGAACTACAGTGGGAGGCCTCGGAAGAAGATCCCGTCCGTCGAACTGGAACCCTTTCCATTGCTCTCTCTCCATTCTACGAGTATCGTCTAACATCAAGCAGGAAGCTCTCATTCGTGCGCCCGAGACGAGTGTCCGTTTACAGGTAATTTATTATATTCTGCTTTCTCCCACGTACCACGTCCCTGTCTTGTATTTCCAATTACGGCAGGACAACCATCCGGGGCCGCTGGGAATTGACGCGGTCTACCAACACCTGGTACCGGAACAATACAGAAAGGAACTCCAGAGCATTGGCATCATGGGTGGTATTAGTTTTGGCGTATGTGCAAGATCTCGAATCCCTAGCCCAAGCTGGAGCTTATGCTTCGTAGTATCATCCAGACTCCGGAACTCCAGCGTTTTTCGTTCATCCATGCCAAACAACGGATGCGATGAGGCACATTGCAGGACAGCTCTGTCTCACTCCCGAGACTTATCTCATGATTTGGCTCGGGTTGGTGGGTAACCGTCTCGGTCTTCAGCTGCCAAAGGAACTCTTCACAGTCGAAGGCATGAAGACATTCCAAGGCACTGCGTCACACAGTTTAGATTGATCCAGAGTATTTCCTCCCCTCTCAGGTTGGATTCCCCCTGGCCTGGCCAACGTATTCCCGGTACATAAGCGAAGCAATTAATCTTCATCCGATGAAGCTTCCATTGGCACATCACTGTCCTCGTCCATAGGGGCTTCCTCTTCGTCACTCTCCTCCTCACGAGGCCGTTTGACACCTTGGCCTGCTTGAGCTTCTCCATTGACTTCTCCGCTGGGCTTCGACGGCAAAGCCGCCGATCCTGGGGGGCCGCTAAATATCGATTTTTGGAGCTCTGTGGATGCTCCCGTGGTTTGACCGGCAGATGTTGTAGTGGGCACATTATACGTTCCGCGCAGCCGGGCAATGACGTCCGAGGGACCCTTAGCATACACAATTTTCTATATTCCCGAGTCAATGAGCGAGGAACAACCGCACTGCACTATGCAAGAACATACCATTTGTTTGCCGAAAAACTCAAACCCCTGGAGGGCCCGCATAGCCTGTGTGCTAGCCTGGACATCTTTAAAAACAATATGGGCCTGACCGCGCATCTTTTGGGTCTTCATGGCGACAACATCGAGAACGGTGCCGTAGGTTGAAAAAAGCATATAGAGGGATAACCGTAGGTCATGCTTGCGCAGCTTGTCTGGGAGATTGGTACAATACAAACTGCAAAAAGAGATCAGTCAGAATGCCCGCATTAGATTGAGAAAGTAGTATCCAAGACTTACGTTTGGTTAGGCAGTCCGGTGGCTGAAGCGGGTTTACCTTGACCACCACCGCGCGTTGGAATTACTCTGGTTGCCATCACTGCAGAGCGACAGAGAAAACCCGGAGGGAAAATAGAGCAGATTCCCAACAATACCTCGAGCAAAAGACCGAAAAGCACACCCCGTCCAGGGAAGGAAGCCAATGGAAAGTGAAACCCGAAGATAGCACAGCTTGTGATGCGAATGAAGTTGAACCTGGATTGAGCGCGAAAGGTCATGTGACATATTACCTAATCATGGCCCATCCCGCCCGCGTCATCGTTCGGGGCCTGGCTTGGCTGAGGTATACTGCCCACCATTCCCCCTCCCCCTTTCCGGTTGGTAACCATCGTACTTTACCTCAATTCTACTCTCTCGTTCACACGGCAGTAGAGAGCTCCTCCTGTCGTCTACTCGCCATGGCCGCTCCCGAAGCTCATCACCTCTTCCACAACCCAATTGCCGATCATTCTTTCTCTCCGGATAAGGCGACCCTTGCAGTTGCGCGGGAAAGCAATGTGGAGCTTTATCAGAAGTCCGGCAACAAGTTCTCGTTGACCGATGAACTCAAGGGCCATGAGAAGACGGTGACTGGAGTGGATATCGCTCCCAACAGTGGACGTATTGTTACCTGTTCTCAGGGTAAGTTATCCTCATCCCCTTGTCCTGCAATAGTCCCGTCTGAGTGACCACGGGAACAGACCGCAACGCCTACGTCTGGGAACGGACCCCCACGGGTTGGAAGCCAACGCTGGTTCTCCTTCGGATAAACAGGGCTGCTACATTTGTACGGTGGTCACCATCTGAACAGAAGTTCGCTGTTGGATCTGGTGCTCGCGTGATCGCGGTGTGCTATTTTGAAGAGGAGAATGACTGGTGGATCTCGAAGCACTTGAAGAAGCCCATCCGCAGCACTATTACCACCCTTGCTTGGCATCCAAACTCCGTTCTTCTGGCTGCGGGGTCGACTGACTCTCATGCCCGGGTGCTTTCCAGCTTCATCAAGGGTGTCGACACGCGCCCGGAGCCCAGCGCCTGGGGTGAACGGCTCCCTTTTAACACAATTTGTGGTGAATTCCTGAATGACTCGGCTGGTTGGATTCAAGGTGTATCCTTCTCTCCTAGTGGAGATGCACTTGCCTTTACTGGCCATGATAGCAGTGTCACCGTCGTATACCCTAGTGCGCCAGAACAGCCGCCTCGGGCGATGTTGACCATCGCCACTCGTCTTCTGCCTTTCAACAGTCTAATTTGGAACGGCGAGAACGAGATCATCGCCGCAGGCCACGTATGTCACTTAAACATTTAGTTTTAGCAGATGATCCATTAGCAAATGTATCGCTAACAGGCATTAACAGGATTGCGAACCGTACCGCCTTCGCGGTGACGAGAACGGATGGCAACTTGCTGGGACCATTGAAAACAAGGCAGGGCCGGGTGCTGGGAGCGCTCGCGAGGAGTCTGCTCTTAATATGTTCCGCCAAATGGATCTTAAGGGACAAACCCAAGCCGACACCCAACTCAAGACTACGCATCAGAATACTATCAGCACCGTCAGGGTCTACGAGGAGGCCGACGGCGTCGTCCGCAGGTTCAGCAGTAAGATATACTCCCCTGATAAGTTATTCTGTGGTTGCGCTAACATTTTAATAACAGCGAGCGGAGTCGATGGCCGCGTTGTTATCTGGACCATCTAGACAACTATATATTGTGCTAGATGCGCTAGGTTTAGCTCAAGGGTTTCAGCATATTGAATGCAATGGATCCTTTACTGCGTCACAAGAATATGGAGCTTGGAAGATAGCTTCAGGTACATAGATTTTGACCACTCGATGTACACAGCATAAATAACAAGGGCACTTGAAGTGCGTGCTTCGTATTTGATGGCCATTCTTAAAGTAACATTCAACTGCTGATTAGTTAGTTACCCTAGTTATAAGCTGTGGTGACTAATCTGTGACGGCGTAATATGTAGGTATGATCGTCACGTAACTTTACGCAAGGATACGTACATCGTGACCGACTCCGCATCACGGGGTCAAGTCAGGGTTCCCCAGATTCTCGACGTCACGGGTTTACTAAGTCTCTCTTCACTTTTTCCAAGTCTCAACCACGACTCTTTCAGCTGCTGCACCGCAGCAGATACCACCAAAGACGATGAAGAAACACTCAGCGCTATGAAAGCCTTTAGTGTGTTGTTCAATTTCTACTCCTTGATCCTCACATACCTCTCCTTCCTCCTGCCGATTCGCGCATTCGTTCGCCTAGAAACGGACCCCATAACTTCAGGTCAGGATTTACGCCCCATCCCCGAGGAGATCTACAACTCTCTGGATGAGCTAGCGCGTGTGGTCGATGTCGCCTACTGCGTTGGCAGCACTGGGCTTCAGAAGCCGTTTCAGTGCCTGAGCCACTGCAGTGACCTCAAGGGGTTTGAGTTGATAACCGTAGGTTGTTCTGCCGTGAGCAGGAGGCTTTGAATGATTAACCTTTTGCTAGACGTGGAATACTGGGCCGTTTCTTTCGGACTCTTGTGGATACATAGCGGTTTCGCACTCGCCGTCACCTAATCGTATCATCGTTGCGTTCCGTGGCACTTACTCCATTACCAACACGATTGTTGATTTATCTGCCTACCCGCAAGCCTATGTGCCGTACAACACCGGACATAAAGATGGCAAGAATGAATCAAGCTGTTACAACTGCACTGTCCACGCCGGATTCTTCACTTCGTGGCAGAACACTCGCTCGACGATCCTCGACCACGTTGCAGCCGCAAGGGAGCAATACCCCAACTATGAACTGGTTTTAGTTGGCCACTCGCTTGGTGGGGCAGTTGCTGCGCTGGCTGGTATTGAGATGCAGCTGCGAGGCTGGGAACCTACGGTGACGACATTTGGAGAACCAAAGGTCGGAAACAAGGCCTTTGCCGAGTTCCTGGGTAAGATATTCCGGTTGGACGAGGACTCTGCATGGCGGTTTCGCAGGGTCACGCATGTTTATGACCCTGTGCCTCTCCTACCACTGGAAGAATGGGGGTATGCGATGCACGCGGGAGAAATCTTCATCTCCAAGGAAGACCTTCCCCCATCTGTGGATGATGTCCACTTCTGTGAGGGCCCTCACGATGCACGATGCATATCAGGGGAGGGAGGAGAAATGGCTTTGGCGGTCGCTCTTCATGAAACGGCGTCTCTGGCTGCAGATGCGAAGTTGCGGGCTGGCTGGGCTGACGCTGAATCTACTGAGCAGCACGATATGCCAGACGGGCGTATTTCACAAGCACCCTTGCACGTGCAGGAAAGTGCCATGAAACACCGAAGCTTATTTGATCTGCCTAGACGACTTATCCCGTCTAGATACCAGTTGTGGGAGCTCCTGTTCTCCCACCGGGACTACTTTTGGCGGGTTGGGCTCTGCGTTCCTGGTCGTGACCGGGCAGGCAAGGGGTGGTGGACGTCGGATTCGTAGTCCCGATGTTCTTCTTACCTACGAAGAGACGACACAAATCATACATGGCTGTAGGAACAAGTGCACGTATGAGATCTTGGTGGATTCGGTTCATATCCCTAAGTATAAGCGAGTCACGTATGCAGCAATACAGCTAGCTATATTCTATGAAATCATAAACCCCTAAGACCAATTTTCTCGAAGTTCGCACTTGATGGGCTGAGCTGAGCAATATAAGCACAAGCACATGATCCACAACACAAGCAAGGGTCACGAGTAAATCGAACCCGATCTGCAAGCCACCTCCAATCCCCACAGAATAACTTAAAACCAATCTCATCACCGGACAGCGGGGGACACCCCAATGAACTGAAACCGCCGCATACTGAACAACGCTCGATAGATGATTCTGAAACCGCATGACAACTAAATTTCACCCTTCCATTCATGCATGGTATGGCTTCCCTACGTCGAACTTCAGTCATATCTTGCTTACTGCATATGTATGTATGTATGTACTCATATCACATTAGGTCACTCACTAAGTAGCACTTATGATTTGTGATGTCATGCGGGCCCTTTTGATGAATATACGAATGTATTAGTAAAGATATTTGTTTATGTATGCATGTGTGTGTGACCTCAGCTAAGCCTAATACTGGGTTTAAATTCAATATGACACTACTAGTAGTACATGAACTACTCCATCACCCCTGCAGCATTAGAGCGAGATCATACTATAGAATGACTATCGTGATAGTACATACATATCATGAAATATATATTGTGGGCTTGCGGTTGCATCATGGGTATCGGTGCCTTACTTCGTGTCTTTATGGGGTACTTAGTAGTATTAATTAGATGTTGTGTATAATGATGGGATGGTTGAGGAGGAAAGTGGATATTTCTTTATTTTTTAATGTTATTTTCCCTGTGCAACTACTCTGTACGGGATGTAGACGTGTAATGATGTATGGGTCGTACAGAATATATATATATTTTTTTGCATATCATGTGACTTCATTGATGAATATTGAAACTGACACTTTAACCAGGTATACCCACAAGAAGTTCTATACAGGGCTGAGTAAATGGGGGTATGCCTATTTGTGTTCGGTTTAACCATACAGAGAGGCAAGTGTGGGGAGAGATTGGGTGACTACTTGTCCACAGGCCTCGGATGAGTGAACGTAGAGTATTATCCGTTGAATATACTTGGAACATGCTTGTGTTGTGACAAGAATCGAGAAATAGCATTGCTAGGGATATCGATGCGTTTGCTGCTACAAATTCTGGGCGGGACAGGTATGTTGAATGGAAGAAGACAACGGTTTGAAAGAAAATTAGATAGAAACTGGACAAAGAGAAAGATAGCAAAAGACCAGAAAAACAGGGGTAGAAAGAAAACAGCTCAAAGAAAGAGGAAATACAATGAGGCCATCAATCATAACACATACTTCAAGTGTCATCACTTTCCTGGCTCCAAGCTAGGAACAATCACAGGCCCATACTTGACCACAGCGCCAAATGTTCCATCGCCCTGAACCATATAGTCCACCGCAAGGTTCAACTTCCCACTTCCTTGGCCTGGATGACCGTACATCGTGTTGACGACATCCGGGTCATAGGCAACGATAGCAACATAGTTTCGACGACCAATCAGCTTCCGGTGTTCACGAGGCTGTCCGGTAACATCAGACTGGAACAGCTCCAGCATGTCTTCCTTAGTATCGGTAGGCTTCGAGGGAGTCGAGCGCTGACCGTTAGCTGGGACATATAGGGGTTTGTTGCTACCATGGAGAAGCTTGATGACATATGACGGTGGTGGGTTGTTAACCACTGGTGACGAGATAAGTTGATACATGGTCTTATGGTTGGAGGGGAAAGACGGATCATGCACGAGCCCAGCACCGCAGGCGTTGACGGCACCCGAAAGGAAAGTCATGCGGAGCGACTTTTGATGGGCAATGCCCTGGAGGGTGCGAATAAGGTAGGTTCGTTCGAGATCCTATCCATGCGGTTAGTTCTGTGATCGTGATGATGCCCCGATAGTAAATATAGCGTGAGGTTACACGTACCTTGGACTCATGGGTCCACTGATCACGCAACTCATCCAACAGGTCAAGCTCACCGAAAGGGCTGAGGATTCCGCCCATTAGACCGGTTTTGCCCACAGCCCGTTTGACCGAGTCGAACCCTGACCCAACCATGCCCTTGGCTCCGACTACACCGGCCACGGAGCTGGTGACTTTTCCAAGGGCATTATATGCCCCCGTGACTGCCCTCTTCCCCGTAGCAACCGTGTGTGCGATGTGTTCAGCGGTCTCCAGGCGCGGGTAGATGATTGGCACTGAAAGCATCCATAAGCAATGCTGCACAGTTGGAGGTAACATGGCAACTTTGGGAAAGATCCCCTGATACGTGGGACCAGCAACAACCTGGTGAGGATTGCGCTCTGAGCGACAGTCAAGGCCGACGGCAACAACAGCGGGCCCCAGGTATTTGACAAAATGCCAGCCAGTGCCGGTGATGGTGAACAGGTCGACGTCGCTCTGAGAATTACGGAGCAGATCCAGTGTGGTATGGTGCTGGAACAGCAGATACATCTCTATGCCTACTCGCCCAATATTCTTGAACATATTGGAGAACTGCATGTGCTCTGGGTAGGAACCAAATCCGTCGAAGCTAGCTTCATTAGCATCGGCTCCTGTCGTGGGGGCAAGGCACAGACTTACATATCATGATCATCGATCTGACAAACATAAGGGATCTGAGCAAAGGCTTCTCTAAGATAGGGCTGATCAAAATGGCTCGTATAATAGTGAAAGTAAGCATGGGAGACGTCCTCTTCGTGGGCAGTTGTCCATGGCGTCTTCTTCCGGATTTCTTTCCCACTGAGTGCCAGCCATTGTTTGAGACATGGAACCTCCTTCCACATCCGATCGGCGTAGATCTGGCCTCCCAGACACAGCTGGGCATGGAATCCTCCAATCTCATTATGCTTCTGCATGATGTCTTTCCACATGAAGCCTACACCGCCGAGGCGAGATCTCTCGTTGGCATTTACATTCATAGAGAAATCGTTTCCTGAAGTGGTGATAAAGCGCCAACCAGTCTCGTATCGTCCCGCAACTAGAAATTCGTAGCGTGTGCAACCAAGGTGTGAGGTGATAGCGTAAGTCCATTTGGCAGGACCGGCCTCTTCCATACGTAAATCAATTTCGTACCGGTAGAAGGTCCACCGCTGATGAACCGCAATCGGCATGGCTTTGAGCTGACGTGGATTCGGAGACAGATCGACACTCTGGTGAATATGAATGGTGGGAGGCTGTGCGGCATCTGTCACCAAGAGAATGGAGCCTAACCAGATGCCACGCTCTACATCCATGTTGGTGTAGCGGAGATAGGGGCCGAAATAAACCCCATTTGTAGGAGCAACCTTGTACATATCGATCCCACTGATTGGAGGGGGCCCCGTAGTGAACCCTGACACAATTGGAGACTGTAAACTCTCAAATCCTGGAGTCAAGGGAAGACCAGGAGATGCCAAGGGTTTACCGAATGTTGATAAAGCGGGCGATGCCAGAGGATGGCTGCTATATACGCTGCCTACCGGGGATAGCGGGGTTTCGTTGAGATTCAGAGGAGTCGGACCCTTGGGGAACTCCCACTGCGTGGACTGAGTCGGGAGGTGGATATAATAGTATTGACCCGAATTGGGATCGAGATGAGCGATCCAACCTTCTGGTAGCGGTGGAGGTGAGGATGGTGCCACAGATGGCGTTGGTAAATTGCTAACGATGGTCTGCTGCACGATCGCATGATTCCCGTTCTGAACTGGAGTTTGAGCGACGTTCGGAGGAGAGTATCTCGACTCTTGTGGCTGCGGCTGCATCTGTGGTGGGGGTGATTGCTTCTGCTGCGGCTGCGGCTGTGGCTGCTGTTGCTGTTGCTGCCTTGATTCATTTGCAAATGCTGGGTGATCATGGGCTGACACGAACGGACCAGTAGCCATTGCAGCACTGTTTGCATCATTGGCTTCTTTGGTGCCGTTTGCCGGTCCAGAGGTCGCGGGGTGCCCAGTTGACGAGCTGGGCTGACCTGTCGATACTGGAACACGCTGCTTCTCGTTCGGATAGCCCTGCGATACTACGGGTCCTGGGACACTCGAGTAGGCCGGAGGAGGGGAGGAGCTTATGCGCATTCTTTCCAGGTCTTGCTCTAGTGCATTCGGAGGAATCCTGGTGGGTTGGGACGCTGGCTGGGGCTGCACTGACGCCCCTGCAGGCATAGGAGGCGTGGAGCTTGTCGAAGGGCTACCTTCGGAAACGACCTCAGCACCTTGATAGACAGTGGGTGGCCCATGTGGCTGGCTTCCAGGCTGCTCCGTTGGGGTCCATGGCCTTGGGACCGGTGGAGTTGGCTGTTGAATTCTGGGCTGCTGGCCGGCATATTGCTCAGCTCTTCTCTGGGCAGCAGCACTCTGAGACTGAAGTCCTGCTAATGTAGAAGTTCCCGCAATTCCCGAGGCAGCATACCGCGCCTCGATATCAGACGTCGCATGCTGCCCTGGCTCAACCACCGGGGTTTCTGGAGGCGGCGGAGAGCCGCGTTGAGCACGAGTCGTCGAGTTTGACGCCGTTGAGCTTATTCGATTGATGGCATTGTTTGGCGGCTGTAGATTGTGTGCTGCTGCCGGTCTGGTTGAAGCTTGAGGAGGTGGGTAGTACTGCTGGCGGTGGTCTGGGTACCCGGCCGATTGGGACTGAACGTTTGGAGCTGGAGCTGGAGCTGCCAGGCCCGGCATGCGCTGATGAAGTCGCGAAAATAGTCCTTCGCGGTCCGGAGAGTCCCCTGCGGGGGATTCGGGCAAGGGTTTCGGGACATTGCCTCGTCGCTCAGCTAGAGTGGCCTGCTTGGGCTCACGCAGCCGCAGAGAAGCCATATAATCGGAGGTCTGAGATATGCCGGAGCCAGCCGACATATTGCTGGGAACCGTGGGCGAGTCTCCCAGAGCAGCTCCACCGTGCGATACTGGACTGGAGCCACTTGAACCTGAGCCACGGACATGCTGGGGTCTCTGCCTATCGTCGGGATAGGGCAGAGGGGCGCTATGCGCCGACGCGGGGGAAGGGGTTTCTCGCTTGCCAATGCGCAGCGGTTCAATGACGGGCGAATCGGCCTGCGGTTGCCCCGATGCAGTATTCAGGAAGAGCTCCTCCTGGGAGCGAAAGCCCTGACGGCTTGCGCTGGGACGACTCATGCTGTCCTAGGTCTTTGCTGAATAGATTGGAGATCAGTAGAACGGAAGATAGCTAGAGAGAGATGTAAATAAAGGTTAGCTTTCTCGAACGAAGCAAGAGCGCCCATCCAAGAACGAATGAATGCGACCAGACGAAAAGATGAGGGAAAGTAAAAGTAAAAGAAAAGGGAAAAGGGGACAGGAAATAGAGAGGGAAATGCGGGGGAAGGGACAGACGGACTGGTAAGAGAGATAGATGCCGTGTGCCGGGGGGGATGTCAACGACTGTCGCTCATTCTTCGTCGCTCCTGAAGCCACACAAAGGACCAACTTGCAATGCAGAGAGAAAGGAGAGAAAGAGGAACGAGGAAGGCAAGAAAGCAGGAGGCAGCGAGATTCCTCTTGGGCAAAGCTGGTGGCTCGACAGATTAGCCGCCGAGGGGGATGCTGGCGGGCGCATCATTGGCTCAGCGCAAAGGCCCCAACGATGCATGAGGGGCAGCTCTCCGCGAATAATCAGTCGGAAATGGTTGATCTCCTCCTTCACGGTGCTGCAGGTTTGGCCTTCCCTGAACCATGCGATGCTCCGGGGTTGCATGTGGCTGCTACTAGCACCAGGTCTGGCTTTGTGTCGCTTTTCCAACTGCCGGTGGGGACCCTGAGATATACTTAGTAGTCAGTACATAGTAGTATCGAGACGGTTTGTCTCTCCCCGAGCATCGGGATCGGCCCGCGGCGGTACCTTAATAGAAAATTAAGTAACATGATAGTCCGGATGTGGATCAACATGACCAACTATGATAAATAAAGAATGGGTCGCAATCCATCTGGTCATGGTTGGTTTATTATTATTATCATCCTGACTTCGTTCACTTCGTAAGTCCTAAGCAAAAATGCTAAAGAGGCGCTGGCGTATACGGGCCCCCGTCTATTTCCGCAATCCAAACCAACTCAAAAAATATATATATCCCAAGAGAGTGATGCCCAAATCCTACAACTCCTGCTCCAAAGTCCCCTGAAAGAACTCGCAAAACTTATGCCGAAATGAATCAACCGTAGTTGACTAACGGTCGCCCATGCTCGGCCAGCACCTCTGCCCATTCAACCTCCAGCGCATGGCCTCCACGCTGAGAATGCTGGATTTGCCGTTCAAAAAATACCTGCAACATCTGACATGTTATAGCCGAATTATACCCAATTTCGCCCTCCTCTAGGTTGGATAGTAGCTCCAAAGCCATCATTTTCAGCCCGCTTGTTGGGGCCACAGCGCCCGCCAGGAAAATGGGAAAGGTGATAAATCGCCGGTCCCCTTCTCGCCCCTTCTCCACGATCCCCGATACGATCTGTAAGATTCGCATCGCGTGGTGGTGAATCTCTTCGTCTGAGACAGCCCCAGACTCCAACCGCTGTCCTGCCCAGAGACTGGTCGAGGAGAACAGCAGGCTGGTGTGATACAGAATAGCAAGCTAGATGGTACAGCCGTTAACACCACACGCCCGGGTGAAGCAAAGGGGACTGACTAACCGGCTGCAACAGATTCTGCGACTGTTCCGAGAGACTGATTTGATTCTGGTACAAATACCCAACCTCCTGCTGGCCCCATAGCCTTATGAGCACATCACGTACCTCCCTTAGTTCCTGTCGCCGCGAGCCCACATAGTTGTCTAGGTAAGACTCTTTGGCATCCCGCGTCTCCACGGCGAGGAGTCCGATTCGGATGGCTAATGTAAAGGTGTCGTAATATAATCGCATGATCAGAGGTAAGCTGTTATCTGCGTGCGGATATTCCGAGTCATTGGGCCCAACTGCACTACACAGCGACTGCAAGTCTAGTAGCAGCTGGTTGTCGAGAACTGCGCGGACAAACTCCCCTGTGCCTGCACCGCTGAACAGCGCATATAGATCCACGTGGCATACCCACCAAGCGATGCAAGGGAATCGTTCAGCCCCCGGAATTGATTGCCGCAGCAATGCCAAATGAAGCAGCCGAGAGACGTGGTGTGACCAAAGGTTTGAACCACCGGGGTTGGCGGCCACAACCTAGCGAATTCAGCTTTAAACCCACGTGATTGTACGCAACACCTCAGGCGCGTGCATGAGTAGGAAAGGGGTTGACCAAAAAGCTCACCTCATAAACAAGCATCAGAAAATGTGTCAGGTACAGAGCATCGGACAAGAGGTCTTCATTGCAGAGACTACCATGGGAAAGAGCGGCAACCTGGTCGTAGTAATATGAGGCATCGATGTGATGGCCACCCCCGTGGCGAACCAGACTCAGAGCGGATAGAGCCATCATTGTATTGTATAGCTGAGAATTTAAAGATTAGATTCCACACAAGTTCTTCCGACACCCAAAATGGCAAGCATTACGCACCGGAGGGAAGTTCGACGCCTCACGTTCAAACACAGTCGCATCCAGACCATTGATATTGAGAAGGCCAGCGCATGGAAGGAGCTGGAAACATACGAAATGACGAAAATGTTCGAGAAGAGGTATTTGGTAATGATTGGGTTCGGCGCTTTCCTGTATATGCTGTACACTGGTGGCCGGATAGTCTGGGATTAATTCCGAAACCGAAGGTGCAGATAATGAGAAGCTTCCCTGGTCTGATTCAGGTGATTGAGGGGAACTTCTTCTGTCTGGGTATAAGTGTCTTCGTGCAGACCTGAAGCTCTTCAGTACGATGACATTTGCTCCATAGACCCAATTGTCATCTTCGACCAGGGGATTACTGCCACTGGCGCTTTCGAGCAGAGCATCGTTCCCAGAGTCTTGTTCAGAGTCCTCGTCTGCATACTCAGGCAGTCGAGAGAAACTCTCTGGGATGGCTATCACATGGTAAGTTCCAGGTACCGCTGCTTGTGCCTTTCTCTCACGCTCTTCATCTGATGTGAGTGTCGCAAAGGGCGGGAGCAAGTCGCACGTAGCTGGAGGCACGCTTGTTTTCCGCGAAGTGACTGTCGCTGTGACGAAAAACCATGATTTGTTAGAGGCAATCCAAGAATAAATGAGGATTACGGCTGCTCACGGTCCCAAATCACGTTTCCTGCGGTCCTGACATCCGGCATGCGCTCCCTTACGCGACGGGTATCATCTCGGAAGCACAATCGCGGCCGGTAGTCACAGACATGGCCCAGACGAGCACATTGCTGAATCGGGTTAGGTCAGCATGGAACTGAGCAGCGCTCACATCGGATCTGGATGAAGCACATTACACTGAGGGTGAACTTCGTCACACTTGACTGAATCGCGAGTTAGTAAGTACATCGTCGCATTGGAGCAGGCGGAAGAGAAGGCCCTTGCAGAGATGTGACTGTCGAGTACTCACCTTTGCGGCTCTACTTCCAAATAAGGCAAAACAAGTTAGCATCTCGCTGTATGGAACGTCGGATATTGCGGCATTTGCTTCTGACACGGGAGGATGGGCTCACTCTGCACGTCCTAGGAGGGTAAGATGACATTAGAGATACCCACAGAACGGGAAATGAAGGCTTTCTCCGCGCCAACGGACATACCAGCAACCAGTCCGGGAACGGGGTGGGAAGCGCAGTCGGTGCTGGCGGACCGAAACCTTCTTGAGCGTCGGAGGGTCCAAGCCGGCGCTGGGGCTCACCAGACAACTCTTGGGGGCAATGATAGGCAATCTTAGAGGCTGCTTCCTTGAAGACCGACCAGAACGGGTTGTCATCGATATACTGACGGCTGCCATGGAGGAAGTCGCTTTTAGGGCTAACGCTGGGAATGACGCATCAACAAGAGATGTCTGGATGGTGACGGGAGCGTAGGCACCCATACTCTAAAGGCTTCCTTGACTATATAGCGCGTAAAGTCTATTAGAGATGGAGAAAGAAGAAAGAGCAACTGAGTGCATCAAAAGGGAAAACAACTGTATAAGAAAAAGAGGTTGAAAAGAAAGTGAAGTGAGGATGCAGTAGGGTGACTATAGATAAAGAGAAATAACCAAGTTCGGTAAGTTAAGAGGCAAATGGGCTGGGGGCCACGGATGAAGATAAACGAAATCGGAAGTAGTATCGTTTATGCATCCTGAAAAGGGACTATCTATAGGGTGGAGCGAATAATGGAGGCTGAAAAAAAATCAATTGGGGGCAAAAGGGAAAAAATAGTTAAATAAAGTCTAAAAAGGAAGAAGTGAAGGGGGGAAAACGGGAACGGAAGATAGGAGTGGGAATCTGGAGTCTGGAGTCTGGAGTCTGCAGAGCTGTCCAGAAGAGTAGTAGTTCGTGAGGAGGGTGAGAGAAACGGAAAGATAGGATCAGGTACAAGGCGGAGCTGATGCAGAAACGCCATGAAAAAAAAATAATATAATATAAAAAATAAATAAATAAATAAAATAGAACAAAACAGGCGTTCTCAAGATCATCAGCCAGCCCTGTCCACAGTGGCGGTTCCGATGGGATTAGACAGGGTGGAAGGCGAACTGCGAACAGGCGAATGAAGAGGCAGCAGCCCAACTGCCACCTTGACGCGAATGGCGTGTTTGTCTGTGGATGATCCAGGGAGAACTGAGGGAAAAGGGAGAGGGGGAACAACCACCGGGATGGATGTGGTTAGGCCCGTATCTTAGGCGAAGAGACTTGGTACCAATGAAGGCCCTAGGATACAGAGTATACTAATGCTCAACTATCCTAGACCATGGATTGCAGATGCCAACCATGTGGCAGCGAGGGTAAGAAGGAAGAAGATTTGAAATAAAGCCCGCCGGGGCCGAGAGAAGAGGAACAGACCAGTCATGCTAGCCAGAGCAAAGTTGCTACCAAGGATGCTGATGGGACGATGCTTTTCCTTCCTCAACTTTGGGGTCAACATCTCCTCTCTGGCATCCAATTAGGTCCGGGAACCTCTCTCAAGTGGAGTAATACTAACCATGATCTACTTCATGACACACAGGTGTCGCAGCTTGTCTTCTGTTTACGATTGATTGATTGATTGATCGATACGTTCCCTCCGTGAGCACTGGCAGGCTATAGTCGCGACCTGAATATAGACCAGGGCCCACGGTTCAGGCTGGATTTTGGGGGAGGGGAAGGCGTCAGGTGAGTTCGGCCACGCCGATATATACGGGGGGCCGTGAACGAGTCATGATGGTTCTGTCTCATCTGGTCAGGTTTGGGTCGGTATCGGACGACGCATCCACTTTGAGACTCGCGAAGCCACGATGGGTGCAAGCTCCGGAATGGACTTGGAGCATCTAACCCAATCCTTGGTAGGTTCACGTCATATTTTTCGGGGCCGAGCCACGCTGGGTGGCTGCCAGAAGGATGCTAGCCAAACGAATGGATGTATCTACGTAGTATATTCAAATAGT